GATTTTAGTTTCTGAATGTCCAATACTTTTAGTAGTGACCTGAATCACTTTAATAGTTGATATATTTGGTTATTTACCAGTAACTTTTTTTGGAGCATGAACAACTAAAACAAAATCTCATTTCGATGTAGTAATTAAACTCTATGACTTCTGTCCTCTAATAAATTAACCAGACCATTATAACAATTGAAAAAAGAATGTTAGTATATATAAGCTTAAAACCAAAAGAAGAAATTTATTCAGTTTTATTACTGGAACTTCTCTGATTTACATACTTTATCCACTGCAATTTCTTTCACTGATGTCTCCTTTAACCATCTTTGACTCTTTTCTTCCTTCAAGCATTCTATCCATCCTTCAGCTTCAAGCTTTCATTGCTTCCAATAATAATCTGGGAGGCAGCATCCCTGATTGATTCCAGAATTGTCCATCTTTATCACCTTCAAGCCCGGTTTGAAATGATAGCACCGTTACGAATGAGTTTGATGAAGCTAACTCCTTTCTTCACATAATAACCCTCATAAAATGCAACAAATCAATTTGACAGCATGAGGTCAGTGGTCCAAATATAAACTAAAACCAAGTAAGCAAAGAAATTAGCAATAGTGGCAGAGAGTAATTTACCTTGTCTTTTATTGATATGCATGATGGCGAAGTCTGCAACCTTCTTTACCCGTTCATAACATTCCTTGAATTATTGGAATATAGAAAGGCAGTTGTAATTACTTCTGTAGACAGTTAAAAAGAGATTAATTGGATATGCTTGTATACTATAATTCAGTCAGTGAAATTAAAAAAAATAAAAAAGACGATATCAAAACAACTTTTTTTATCAAAAAAAGACGATATCAAAACAACAAATAAATTTAACAAACTGTGTTCTTCCCATGCAAATATTAAAGTCAATGTTTATTGGAATGAGATGTATGTTCTAAAATATCTTACCCTGGAGCCACCGTCACCAATGGAAGCAATAACGCGCTTTTCAGGTGCCGATTGAGAGTAGCCTAATGTGGCACTAACTGACCATCCAATCGACCCAGATTGCATTTGGAATTCATACCTACCGTACCTCGAATTCTACTGCAGTTTTTACAGATTAAAAGAAAGGGTATCAAAACACAAAAACAATTCAATACTTACCCACAGCTCTTAAGAACTATCTGAAAACTAAGAACCTCATCATTATCATGTACTTCCTGGTCTTTCAAATAAAGTTGCTGCAACATGCTAAACTGTCCAATCGATCCCAGATATATCTACTAATGTACAGATTAGATAGCTTGAAAGGTCATCGCTCATTTTTCCTTCAACAAAGTAACCTTGTTAAGGAGTTAAAAACATGCTGAATTTGAAACATGTATCAATCAAGATAATGGTCATGACTTGTACCTTAAAGAACAACTCGAGCTCAGCATTAGCCAAAGGAATCCATCATGCAACTTTTAAAACATTCAGTACAGAGAGGTTCAAAGGCTTCCATTTGCTGTTTCTTGTTACCTGGAGGGCTAACATTTTCTTTTCAAAGGTTGTATCCGTAAGGTTTAGTGCAACTTTTTCCAAAGGTTGTATCCAATTTGTTGCTCCTTCCGAACTGCGCTCTCCCCATAAAAATAACATTCATACATATGAATCCTAAGATATACAAAAGTTGCCCACCCTTATATCGTTCATGGAATTAATAGTCATTCAAACAACCGAAAGCAAAATCAAATCAGTAAAGAACAAAAATCTGATTTTCAAAAATATCAATATCACTTAACGAAATCTATCATAGATCACCATGTTCTCACAATTCAGTCCTAAGCATACTTGAGCAACATAACCATATAAATCACAGAGTCTAATTAGCTTCTTTTTTATGAAAAAAAAGCCAGTAACCCAAAAATTTTGAAACTTTCATGTAAAATTCGATCAACCATTATTAAAGGGAAAGCCAATAATTCTTCGCTGCCAATTACAATTAACAATAAAAAAAATACTGCACCTTCTATAAAAAAACCTCAAATCCATCCATCATTATTCAACAAACCGTTCTCTGTTTTCTAACAAATCAAATAATCAAACCCAACAAAGGATTACCTTGAAAATCTTCGTAGATGCTACTCGTAACCCGATTTCGAATCTCCCATCGATGTAGCTCATCACTTGTTTAAATATGCCATCTTGCAATTTTCTTCTCCAACTCAATAATTTCAACAGGACTGGGAATTCAATCTCAAAACTTACCAAAAAAAAAAAAAGATAATTCGATCTTAAAAGATTTGTATGCAGGATTGCAAATAAAAGAGTGATTACCGAAAAGGACCTTGATGTCTCAATCGTAGCTATCGCCAATCTGTCATCGCCGCTGCTGGGTCGGCGGGATCTACTTGAGGGTTGTTGATGTCACTGGATCTACTTTGAGGGCTGCTCATGTCGGCTGGATCTTCTTAGTTGCTGTTTATTTCTTGTGTTGTTACTTTGCCCTATTGAAGAAGAATGTTCCTTTTTCGATGATATATGATGATTGCCGGCCCTATTGAGGATGATAATTGAGGTCTGCAACATGATTAAACGTCCTTCAAAACCGAAGAACAATATTGTGGGGTTGTTGATGTTTCGGCGTTGTCATCTTCTAGGTGATATAATTGGCCTAAACAATCCATAGATAGAGAAGATTGTAGAACATATCTGATCCTCAGTTGTTTGAAATTGAAATTAGGGATTGTGATTGATGGAGCTATTTTAGGGAAGGATTAGCACGCGTTGATTTTGAGTAATTGAGTTGCTCGGAGTCAGGATTTAAAATTTACCTTCTTTTAATGTAAATTAGGCTATTTTCTTTAATTTTGGAAATCGTGGTTTGTGGAGCCATTCTGTTGACGATTTTATCACAAATAACTGTAATAGTAAACTCCTTTAAATTGAGAAATTATGTGCTTTTTTACCCTGAATAAATATTTTCAAAATACAAATCATTTGTAATAAACACATACTGTAAAACATAGGGTGCATTATTACAGTTGTAATTTTTCTTGAGCATAGAAGAAGCCACGTGTCAGATTTCTATATCTTTTTTTTTTTTTTTTTGTACTGTAGAAGGGTTGAGGAGCTTTGGAGGGAAAATTTTCATTCTGGTGCTGACATGTGTCCAAAATATTTGTTGCTTTAAGTAAGTACACTAGATATCTTTTAATATATAAATAATTAGACAACGTGCTATATATCAAATTAATCTACGCAACGAGATCTTTCTATTAAGATCTATTGTTAATATTTTTGGAACTAAAAATTTCATTCAAATTTATATATCAAAATCAATATATATATATATATATATTGTTTAACTATTATGTATATGAAAAGTTAAATTATTTTTTTTTACCAAAAAAAAGGTAAATTTTTATTTCTTTTCTTTTATTTTTATTCTTCACTAATTACATTTTGAACTTTTTTTTTTGTAATTTTTCATTATTTGTTTCTTTTTAATAAATTTTTTTGAAAAATATTTTTCACAAATTATTTGTCTTTGAGTGTATAAGAATTTAATTTTTTTTTTTAGTAAAATAATACTTTTGTATCACATTTATTTATTTTTAATAATGTCATAAATATAATGAATTTACTGCTAGTACAAATACAACTGTAGTAATGATAAAAATTAGAAATCAATTAAAAAATTATCTGTTTGTATTTGTTTATCATAACTTATTATACTACCAAATACCTCCTCAACTTACAGTCAACCTACCAAAAACCTCCTTAAGATAATAACATCATTATCAATTTTATATAAACGGCCAAAACTACTCTCTAATCTATATTTTTGAAATTATACGATTTAAATATTTTTAAAATATATCATAAATTAAGGTAAAAAAATACCATATTAATCATTTTGTAATAATGCACTTAAATAGTAAATTTTCAAAATTTAACTCTATTATTTTGAAATAAAATAATTTTGATCAATTAATTTAGATTATTAATTATGAATTAACTTTTATATAGTAACTTACATTATTAATCATCGATTAACTCTTTTTTTTTTTGTAAATTTATAATATAATTGAAAATTGATATAAATAAATACACATGTATAATAGTCAAAATACAAAGAAAAACAAACCAAAAAAACAAGAAAGTAAAGAAAATGAAGTGTATGTAAACTACGGTTAATATAGTCATGTCAATATTTGACCCCACTCAAGAGGTATATGGTAATATTACTAAAACTCGGGGGGTAAAATGTAATTCACCCTATTTAATAAGTTAGAATGGTATAAATATTATACATTTAATCTAGTTAGAATGGTTTTAAATCTACACTCTAGTTTTGATTTATGTTGGAACTTGAAAAGGTAAAGTGTGTTAAAGAAAATTTAGAACAAGATAATTGTAAAAAATAAAAAAATAATTTAGAAAAGAAAAATGAAAAAATGAAAAAAAAAATTTGTCTACAAATAATTTTATTTTTTAACAAAGTTAATTAAATATTTTTTAAACAAAAAGTACTTTTGAAAAAGACCTAATTCAAATGGCTTTTTTCATATTTTGAACTCGTAAAAGAGTTTTGAGAAATTCTTGTCCAAATACATTATTTTCCAAAATTACTTTTTCAACTTTTGCTTCAAACAGACTTTTCTGAATAACTTTTTAAAAGTCTTGTCCAAATGGAGCCTTAGTTTCTTGGCAATGTCACATTTCATTATTTTTAGTAGTGTTTTTTCTTTGCAATTGCATTTTAATCGTCTAGTTCGTCTCGTGATCTAATCCTCATCACCTTTAAAAAACCATTAAAAATTACTTTTATTTCTTAATTTGTGGTTTTTTTCATTTAACTTTACTAAAATCTATTTTGTAAATGTACTTTTAACAAAATATTGAAATCCAATAAATTTTACAAAAACGAAAATACTTGTTTACAATTTGATTAAAAAAACCTAAAAAGAAAAATTAGTGCAGTATAAAATTTGTAATTATAAATGATTTAAACTTTCATTTTTGGGGAAAGAATTGAACATCATTCGAAGCTTCGTAAAGGTTCCACACCGCCACCTAGAAACACCATTTATCGAAGCAATAACGCGCCTTTTGAAAAGCAAATTGGTTAAACCGCCGGTGGCAAATCGAACCGGCCCGGTCTAATGCAAAATATAAATTTAGGGGATCTTCATTTTACTTTACCAGAATTCAAAGTATCAAGAATATCGCAGATCTCACTGAAACCCTCGTCGTGATCTACACGTCGTTCTTTCCTTCGTTCGTGCGTGTGGACCCCCTCGACGATCGTTCGCCAGTGGACGGCCGGCCATTCCCGATCATCTCCTCGGCGCCGTTGACGGTGTCCTTGTTCCTTTACCTTCAATCCTAACTTTTCTGCATTCTTAAGGTACTAGTTCATGTTTTCAATTCCTTTATTTATTTATTTTTGCAATTTGTATGTTGGATTTTGTTAGCTCACGAAGCAATTCAGTGAATTTGCAATTTAAGTGACTTTCTGGTGATTGATTCGGCCAATCCAGTACGTCAATTAGGTTCAACTTTGCTGGCGAGGATGCTGTAACATTTGATTTGCTCATCTCAGAGAAAATAGTTTAGTTTGGAAATTTTATCCCTTACCTATTCTTGATGATTGGTGATATTTAAGTTGCTTTTGAGGTCTGCCTAAGAAATGCCTTTGGTTTTGTCATTTTAGGATTTCTGGGTATTAAATCGTATACCTGAACTTTAGTTTGTTATTAATTTTTTTTTGGTTTGGGGCTTCCGAATAAGGCACAAATTATACGTAGGTCTAGTTAGTGTATAATCTAGTCGTTGCTGGCTTTGTTTGGTGTTTACTATGGAATTATAGTTTAAATTCTCCAAAATTGATAGAAATGCCTCTTGACATGCATTCATAGGATATGGCTGAGGATTCTAAGAAGGAGAACGGAGATGTTGATACAAAGGTGCCAAGCACATCTTCCGATCCTGAGGTGAAAAAAGAAAAGACAAAGAAGAAGAAAGGAGTGTTCTCAAGAGTGTGGAATGCAGTGTTTAGATCACAGGGTGATGATTTTGAGAAACGGCTGCAACATATTACTAAGGAGGAAGCATCTGTTCTATCTAGGATGAGAAGACGTTCTCAGAGCTGGAAGAGGATTAGAAGAGATTTCATTGTGATGTCTGTCCTCCTTGAGGTAATTATGCTGGTTTAGTATACGATAGTACCATTTCAGTGTATGTGAAAAAAACAATTTGGCTAGGGTAGATGGAACTCGAAATTTGTGGTATTTTATGTTTGTTAAACCCTTATTTGATCAACATTTTCTTTCTACATGAATTTGAATGGAATTATCATCTTGCATGTTGGTTCTTTGAATTGATGATCTTTGCTTATTTTGTGCTTCTCTCTGCATTTCGATTTTGGCAATGATCTTGTTGAGCTCATAAATCTCTTTTCGAGCTGCTCTTTGAATTTGGTTTTGGAAGATTTTTTTTGGGTACCGAGTTATGATGATTTCTCGATTTGTACTCATACACACACACACACACACATCTTTCTGCAGTCATGACACTTGCTGTCCTGGGTCTTATTGTTTATGAAGCTTGAAAGCATTCTGGTGTGATTTCGAGGAAAAACATCCTAGCATTTATTTATTTTGTCTTGGAATTAACTTGTAATCCCTCTTTAAATGAAGTACTCTGCCCCTCTTTTTTGCTTGTATGATTTTCAATACTGCAGCCTTATTTTTCTGAGTGGATTCAGCTGTGACAAAATCAGTTAGAAATCTGTTCTCTGAGTGGATTCAGCAGTGTCAAAATCAGCTAATAATCTGTTCTATATCCGTTTGCATATTTTTGAATGTTATAAAATCTTTCTTCCTCTTATCCCTTAAAATTGGATTATTCATCATTTTTTTAATCTAAAGTGGAGATGATATGTGAAAGTTCATAGATGATTTAATCCATCAATTCTTTTTTTTTTTTTTCTGTAGATTTAAACTCAATGTGATTATGCAAAGGGACTAGATTAGTCAGATTTATTGAACACCTGCACACAAAATTAGGTCGGATGGCACCATGTCAGCATGCTTTCTGTTTTTATGTGCAGGGTTAGGTATTACCTTACATAATGATGATGTTATACTTGTATTGAATGAAACTGATTAGATGAGTGGGAAGTGGGTATTAGTTGACTTCAATTCTTTTGCTTTTGTGGCCATGTCCCCAAGCAGTTATTTGATTTTTCTGCTCTTTATCGGTTTGATTTAGGCAATCGCAGTTGGTTATGCAATAATGACTACAAGAGCATTGGAGTTGGATTGGAGGATGAGAGCTTTGCGAGTTTTGCCGATGTTTCTTTTGCCTGCTTTATCTTTTCTTACCTTTTCGGCATTTAGCAGCTTCAACACGATGCGTAAGTATTGAGGTGTCTATTTCCTCATGTTTGTATGTCTCATCTTCCTATGATTTGTTATAGTCACCGTCGTTTTAGATTCTCCTGATGTCAGTAGACTTTATTTTTTACTCTATCTTCATTCTTTCTTTCAACTTCCTACTTAGTCTTTTTTGATATGTGCAAGTAGCTTAATGGTTATTTTTTATTATTATTATTATTTTTTGGATCTGATACTCTCTTGGTTTATTCTTTGTGTCATATCTTTATTTCTCTTTTTAGTGCTTAAGGTGGTGTTTGCGTGTTGCGTAAGTAATATTATATACCTCTTGTGAATTGTCAACATGGTTGAGACTGTTGCTGAACTGTGTTACATAGAGAAGCTAAACGACTGCTTCTGAACTCACTAACTGACCTGCTTTTGATGACTCAGGCCAGGAGTGATTTACCCTTGAGGTTATTAGACTTGAGATTAATGACTTAACTTTAACTACTTATTTATGTGGGAAGGAATCATACATATGTTTTTGGGAAACCCTTTAGCAGCCTCTTATAAACAAAAATGGGGAGTGTATAATTGAAGCAAAACTTGTCCCGTGCATGGATATGGATAATTCGGTTGACGTTGATATAGTTTCAAAGTGATTCTTTTTTGTTGTGAGATTGTACTTTGACACATCTTGAAGCAAGTCAGGCCAAGAAATAATTATGCCGAAGGTCATTGGTGTGATATTAATGATAACTAGAATTCCTTGTTCTCAATGAAGAAATAATACAAATGTTATTCGGAAAGCCCTTGGCATCCACATACATATATAGAAAAGCGGAATGTCAATTCAAGTAGAAATGATCTGGTACTTTATAATTACAATGCTGTGCATGGGTATAGATAATTTCTCACGGTTGACGTTGATATAGTAATAATAATTGTTATTGTACTTCTAACACATCTGATTAATGATTTTGTGAAGAGAAAAGATAGCTCTGTTGGGATTTTCTTTTTCTTTTTACTTTTTTTTTTTTGAATCGAGTAATGTGTGCAGAGGAATAATTTTTTGTTTATATATGTTGAGTTGGGGTGCATGCACCATGCACAGCCTTTTTACTCTTCCAGCCATTTCCAGTTTTATTGCTGGTAGTCACGATTAAAATTTGCAGCTTATGTTTGTTTATGATCTCATCTATCATGAAACTGTATAGGTGATCGCAAAGACCAGAAGACTCTTGAAAGGCTTAGGACTGAAAGGCAAAACAAGATTGATGAACTGAAGGAGAAGACAAATTATTACATTACCCAGCAGCTCATTCAGGTATTTATATTACCAAAAACTAGTGTTTTCTTGTGGTTTTTCCTTATGTTGCGCAAGGTACTGGAGCTTCTGAGTGGGTTTTTTCCTGTATTTTTTTCTTCTTTCATGCTCTAGGTATCAAAATGATTATGTGGTCAGTTTTTCATTTTTAGTTTAGCCTTTTCTTACTGTCATTGAGAAAGTATTCCCACTTTTGACGTGCTCATTGGTATCTCTGTATGAAACATAGAGGTATGACCCTGACCCTGCTGCAAAGGCGGCTGCTGCCTCTGTTCTGGCCTCAAAGCTTGGAGCTGATTCTGGCTTGAAAGTCTACCTCGGGGATGAGTCTAAGCTGAACGCGCCTGTAGGAAAAAGCAGTGATGTTGAGCTTGTGCCGTCTTCTGGTCTTCGGAATAGGAAGCAGGTGCAGACAAGAGCTAATGGTTCTGATCACACTGTATTAGATCACCATGAGGAGGAAATGCTACACCAGACTGGGCTTGAGGGGCTTGATGTTTCTCAGCATCAGCAACTGGTTGTGGAGCATCACCAGCAATCCGGCTCTACTTCTCAAGATGGTGGATGGTTGGCTCGCGTGGCAGCTTTACTCGTGGGGGAAGATCCAACACAATCATATGCATTGATTTGTGGCAACTGTCACATGCACAATGGTAAAGGAAAAGCTTCTATGAGTTGAACGTCGTGATGAATGTCTATTTGTCAAAGCAGTAAATGATATTTTATTTCCTCTCTGTTTGGGCAGGGCTTGCTAGAAAAGAGGATTTCCCATATGTAACCTACTACTGTCCCCATTGCAGTGCCTTGAATAGGCCAAGGCAGATGGATGACCGTGCTTCTGGATCCAATTCTCCCCATTTGGGATCTTCAACATCTGTTAGCGAAGTTGAAGTGACGAAGAATGCTGCTGGCCCTGCGAGGAAGACTTCTGCTTCTGGCAGCCCAGTTAGCCCAGCCGAAAATGAAACAAAAGCAGTAGAAAGTGACATAGCTTCGTCAGAGGTCCTGGCTGGTTAGTTGCTGCACGAACCCTCGGTTTCTTTAGTTATTTCCTTCTGGGTTCAAAGTAAGAGACATGATTACTTGCTACATCAATACTGCAACTTGCACTGCTCTATATCAGCTAATCGAAAGGAATCTTGGGGTTTCCATTCTCTCGGTTGAGATTTCCATACATCGATAAAGCATACGAGATACATAGTCAAGAACTGGTTCTTCCAGATGGTAACTCTGTAGGGTTGGTTTTCACTGCTTGTGCTTGGATTTTGTTCCAGCTCTTTATTTTGATTTTGTCGATTTTGTAAATCGTTATTGTAAAAGAGTAGTTAGAATCTTCCTCTTTTTGGAGTCAGAATTACTCCAAATGAACGAATTGAGACATGAGAGATTGAATGTGAGGCCCTTCCCTTTGTCATTGAAAAAAAGATTGTTGTATGGGCGATACTTTTAAGTATCACTTGTTTCTTTTTAGTGCTTCTCGCAGATGAAGTTTTGTACGCCTTGTGAAGCGTGGTGGTTTGCTGTTTCGGACCTTGCAATTCTAAAAAGTTCAACATTATTTTTTAATGGAAGTAATTTGAATGTTTAATTTAAGGAATTGAATTTGCTTCTTGGTTTGGTGTGGTAAATAACTGGTGTTATGGAGGTTATTGCTAGATAAAATTTTCTTTATTCCTTCTGAGTAAAGGTTACTGTTTCTTGATTGAAAGTATTCAGACACCAACCGTTAAATTTTATAATATTCAATATACCATGTAGCTTACTAATAATTCATTAAAAAGCATTATTCGGTATAGAAGTGCAATAATCTTACTAGATATTAAGGGAATTTTTTTCACAAGACACATGTCAATTAATTAGGTCATCTATAATATTCAATTACACATGTCATCTTCTTATTCGTTGAGACTTTTATGTAGTCCACATGTCATCTTTTAATTCGTGGACTTTTTTTACTTGGTATTTTATCCAAGTAATATTGTTAATTTAAACACAAGGTTATTTTCTAAAAAAAAAAGAAATAACTTCTTTCAAATTAAACTTTTAAAGCCGACGATCTCCGAAACATCTCAATGAACAAGACCGGCAGATCACACTGCATATCATTTTCCTAAAAAAAAAAAAAATCTATGGTATTAATCCGATGCAGTTTTTGCGATGAACACTGATCTTTCAACCAAGAATACTGGCAGAATCTCCATACCTTCCCGGAAACAATAATTCGTTGATCCGCCAAGAACTCCAGCTTTTTTGTATGGCTACATCAATCCACCAATCCAACAAAAATTCGTCATCTCTCCCCATCAACGCTGGACCCTGATTTTTTTTTTTTCCGCGGAATCCAACATGAATATTTTTCTCTGAACACTGCTTGGTGACAAATCGCCGATTATTATTTCAGCCGCCTACTTTCTGTGTGAAGTCATCTTACTGCTGTAACCATAAGAAATTCAAAAAATGGAACTACCAAACTGTTACGTTGACGCAGAATTCGTGGTCAATATGATCTATCTTTCTTTTAGATATGTAATTAGGAATATACCGTCATGATGGGGGCGTTTTTTCCGCATAATTGACTTTAGAAATTTAATGGATCCGATCGATAAGGTATTATTTATTTTAAAAATCAAAGTGAAATTGATTTTTATCTCACTCTTATCTCTTCCGTTGAATGATTTAATAATCTTCAATCAAAGTAGCAACTTAATTACGGAAACAATCCGTAACTCATGGTTTCAATTTGAATGTGATTCTTATTACATTGGCCAAAAACTTATGATTTAGTTGTTTCTGTTGTATGTATCATATACACCCGTAAACATATCCATCAGTCAATCGCTCCCAAAGCACAAACGAACTCAAGCACACCCTCACCGAAAAATATTTCTTCTTTGTTATTTTCTTATTTTGCAGGCCGTGTCAATATCAAGTAGACTCAACCCTATGAGCCAATTGAACGACAAGACCCGATGTGGGTGGATGATCATTAAAAATTTAGTCGACTCAAAGAGATATAGAAGTTATATGAAGGTATAATTTCAATCGTCATTAATCTTTTTTTTTTGTGGGAAATCTAATGAATTCATGTGAGTACTACGTCAAGGCTTATTGTCAATTTCAAAATTATATTTAAATTGGTTTATCATCAATTATATATGGAGTGATAGAGTCCTAGGATTTTTACGCTTTACCGCCCCGTATAGCTGAGTAGAACCTCAACCACAAGCTACATCTCTTTCGAAATGGTAAAACCATTTCGTTTTTGTTTTGATTCAATTACTCACTTTTTCTAATTTTGTAATTGTGTTTGCTTGGATTTGGCTTTTCCTCTTAGATGATCAGTTGTACAGCTTTAGAAAGTGTGTGATGAAATCAACCAGAATTGGAGTGGTTTTGGTTTTAATTTTCAAAGTAAGTAGTTAAAAATCATATTAGATTGAAAAGTAGTATCAAATCAAAACCAGCAACTCCAACTCCAGTGACTAAGTTTATCTTCTTTACTTATATTCTTTATTTTTCTTTTGCGATTCTTATTTGAAATATTAGTATCAGTTTACATAACCATTTTGAAGGTAAGGCTACGGGCAAAGTAATGAATTAATATTATTTTTTTCTGCTTTTGACTTTTTAATTGCTTAATTTAATTTGCATGGCATGAAAGAGAGTAGGAGACAGTCTTCATTTGATAATGCTACGGGCATGATCAGAAATTTACTCCCGACGTATATGAATCAAGGCTACGGGCAAGGTAATGGATCAATGATATTATTATTATTATTTTTTGTTTTTGTTTTTGGCTTTATAATTTCTTAAATTTAATTTGTGGGGCATGTAGGATGGTGGCGGCTTCTTTATCATGATATGATATTTCCATGATGTTTAATTTTTTCAAATATAAAAAGAAAATTGCCACACTATAAATTTCATCATCTATAGATCTTGAACTAGCTATTACGGTAGTTCTCAAGTAAGTTAAAGGAGGAGAGGAGTTAGTATTCAAACAAATAATTCTCTCCTTTATTGAATCATTCTTCACGTCTTATTTTTTGTACTTTTAAATCCCCTTTGTAGAAGCCACCACTCAAACATGTGTAGCTTATCTCATTCGGCATAATCTAGTTTATTATCATCATTAGTTCAATATGATTAGTATAAATCAGCCAACCAACGAAGTAACGGCTCGTGAAAATGATCATGATGCACCAGAAGTAGTAGCAAACAATGGCGTTGGCAGCATATTTTTGCGGCTAATGAATGAACGGTTTCTCTAGAAAAGGATGGGTGATGGCTGAGATCGGCATAAATACTTCGAATTTATAGATTTTGCTGGGATATATAGTTTTGTTGGCAGTGTTGGGTGGTTTTAATGGTCGTGATCATTGGATTTATGGCGTAGTGGTGGGAGGTGGCTTTCCTGATAGTGCTATCTGAGTTGCCGTACCAGAGCAAGTTGGGGCATTTCTAGCAGCTTTTGGTGGTGATTTCGTTGTGTATGACCATGTATATTTTTGTTTCAATTGTATTTTACAAACTTTTACATTGAATGATAAGGTTATATATTGGAAGATATGGAAATTTGTACAATTAACAATTTAGAATTTCCCCAGTTGAGTTGTTCATATTTGTTTTCTTCTCCCTTTTTGAATTCTATGCATAATTTGATAAGAAAATCTAAATGAATCTTGAAAAGGTGTTCTTTGATGCCTTTTCTTTACTCTAAATCTAAACAGGTCATGGTGGTCGGTGGAAACGACTTCGGTGGAAGAGTTTAATAAGGTGGTCTGTCTTTGGTTTTAATGCAAGAATTCATACTATGGAATAAAAACTGAAGTCAATGGGAAATGATTGTTCTAAAAAAAACTGAATCATAAAAATTCTGGAGAAACAAATGAATCTTTAATGAACATTGAAGAAAAATAAACTTCCTAAAACTCAAATTTATATCAACTTCGTAAAAATCTTTACCATGTTTTCAAAATTGATTGAAATTTGCTAAAAAGTAGGACTAAATCTTATATGTACAAAAAAAAAAAATCCCATTGAATGTAACCATAAACATGAAACTATTTGTCATGTTTTACAATGCAATGATATTAAAATGGCATATATAGGGCATATATAGGTTAAAGCCAATATCATCATTATTCCGTCAAAAATTATTTACATCTATCAAAATTTATTCATAATTAACATGCCGCACAACTTATCATATTATCACCATTTTCCCTTTGAATTGACTGTTCCGGTATCATTTGTAAAATGGTTAGATAATCGGTAATTATGTACTTGTGTTCATTTTGACACTGGATTTAGTGCAACTCCTCTGTTCAATTATTCTCTTATTGAATTTGTACAACTCCATTTTTATTTCCACATGAATGATGAGGTTGCTGGTCTAAAGCTATGCTTCTACTTTTTTCCTACAATGCTCCCTATGCTATATTTTAATTTTATTTGCTATGTATTCCTTGTGTGTCACAAAGGTATTTATGAAGAGTTTATATTTCTTACTTATTCTGGAAACAAGCGAAAAGAAGATAGAAAGGAAAAAGAAGCGAAAAGAAGCGTTTATGCTTTTGTATATATTTTCAATTTTCTTGAAACTTAAAAATATACATGTTTCTGTTTTAGTTTTGAGGAAAGTTGAAGATTTGACTTCCAGATCATTAGAGCCAGCTCGAGACGGGCATATTCGAACCCATGCGTTAGTTACTACTCAATAATTTTTCTGCTTCCTTTTAGTCCTTTTTCTTTTTTTCTGTTATTAATATTCAGTTTCTATTTGTTGTTTTTCTTGGTGTTGGGATTTCAGTTCATTTAAGAATGTGGGATATAAACGATTCACCGAATCAGAGAAGAGATTATCAACCTAAAGGGTGTTCTTTTAACAGGATGATGACAACAAAAGGAGAGGATCGGTGCCATTCTATTTCATCTGCCGTCGTTATCGAGTACTATTCTGAGCGAGAAGCCGGTAATGATCGAGGGCTAATTGAGAGTATGGAAATGCAAATAATTTACCTCATTTTACTCCCAACATTTCACTCTAAAGTTGAATACAAATGAAGATGGAATGATGCTTGTGGATTTTTTTTCCAACGGGTTATCGAAAATACTAAACTATTAATTGATCGATAAGTATCATTTTTGAACAGATAGTTCTTACTTATTCTTTTATCTTTCCTTTTCTTTCGGGTTCAACGGTGTGCCAAAATTACTAAAATAGTAGTCAAAATCATTCCAGTTATTGAACTTATAAAAAACCTAAGAACTTGCTTACGAAAATGTAGATCGAATGAGACCTTTTTTTTTTTTTTAATCTTAACGGATTGTTAGAAATACTTAAATAGAAAAATTTTATTTTTAGATCCATTTTCAATGATTATTATTCAAATTGTTCTTTTTTTTGTGTGTGTTATCATGTCTTATGAATTAAATTGGATTGCATTTTCTAATGCATTTTTTTCCATGTGTTGTCATTAGCAACACGTCCATCAACGAAAACCATTGCATAAGAATTACTTTATTAGTAAATAAACGATACATTTACTGAATCATCCTTCACACAAATATCTAATTTTTTTTTATATAATTAACATCGATGAAATATTTTGAATGTTAAGCTCGATTTCTCACCGTGCACCGCATTTTGTCCAACTTGGAAGTCAAATATTTATTCAATGAAAGGGCTATCTTGGCACCTACAAATGATGATGTTGATGCTATTAATGATCACTTGTTGTCACTCCTAGCTGGTGAGGTAACAGTGTATTATAGTTCGGATTACATAGACATGACCGTAAGGTCAGGAAACCCGGATGATGATGCAGTCTATATGACAGAATTCCTCAACTCCATAAAATGTTCGGTGTCACTCCTAGCTAGTGAGGTAACAGTGTATTATAGTTCGGATTACATAGACATGACCGTAAGGTCAGTAAACCCGGATGATGATGCAGTCTATATGACAGAATTCCTCAACTCCATAAAATGTTCGGGAATGCCAAACTACAAAATAACCCTAAAAGTCGGAGTCCCAATAATGCTTCTTCGAAACCTTGATCAACCAGGAGGATTATGTAATGGTACAAGGCTCCAAGTCAATAATTTGGGACAACAGGTTATTCAGGCGATAATCATACCAGGTGTTAATATTGAAAAAAAATATTTCATTCCCTGTATGGATTTTAGTCCCACTAATGAGAGGATACCAATTAAACTGAAGAGGAGGCAATTTTCAACTGTTACATGCTTTGCTATGAGCCTATCACAATAAACAAGAGTCGGGAAAAGTCTCTGTTTGAAGTCGGGTTGTTTTTGCGTCGTCCAGTTTTTACTCATAGGTAGTTTGTACGTCGTTTTTTCAAGAGTAAAATCAAGGAAAGATCTTAAAAATCCTTATTTGTACCAAGGATTGAAAATTCCATACTCGGACGACAAATATAGTTTACAAAGAAGTCCTGGAAAATATATAACTCGTGATATGTTGGTTTTAGAAGTATTGCTTATTTCCGATATATTTTTTAATAATGGCACAAATGCTTTATATTTTTATATATCCTTAGTTTTGTCCGTTTTATCTTAATTAAAATAAAACTAATATTTGTTATACACCTTCGTATTTATTCTTATATGTTGAAATTATATACTCATATTTAACGTAAAAAAAAAGATAATTTAATTCTAATTTGCTCACCGTGCAACGCACAGGTAAAACACTAGTTATTAATTACTCCATCCGTTCCATAATTATTGTCCACTTTGCCAAAAAAATTTTGTCCCAAAATTATTGTCCAATTTGACTTTTTATGGATCAAGTTACACATTTGTCCTTAGTAAAAAACATTATCCATAAAATCTTAGTGGTTAAACAATTACTTATGTAGGGGTATATCCGGTTGTTTAAGGTAAAATATAGTTAAGTTTGACCAAAAATAAAATCTTTCATTTTAGTAAACTTGGACAATAATTATGGGACAGAGGGAGTAATTATAATCATAAAACATATACCTAAAGGAATCGTAAGTTGTCTGAACGAACGAATTCAATTCAAGTAGAACAACGACCTCCCTAGAGTTTTTCTATTTTAATTTTGATGAAAACGAAACAAATATGTAATCACTTCAACCTTGCAAAACGAGTGTGCTACTATAATATATATATATATATATATATATATATTTATATGTTTTGGTTGAACTTTTAATGTGCTTTTATCCATATGAATATGGTACAAAATTGTGATTTTATGTGAGATATTTTGATCTCCTTATAAAAATTTAAAAAGTCTACTTTCGAAAACCACACACTCTTCCTTTATGAATTTTTTTTTCTATACTAGAATGATTGCTTTCGGTAAAAATAAGAAATTTTATTTTGGATTTTCTACAAAATTGAGAATATACAAGGAATTTTTTTCCTAAACAAAGTAAAAAAAATAAAAGTACACTAAAAAGATTCATTCAAACAGAGCCAATTTTTCTTTCATTTTGGTGGGGAGCATATATAAAAAAACACCAGTGTTGACCTTTGTTAGTTATTATCCCAAAGTAACCGCTTCCCAGACAGTCGGCAGAGGCTGATGCTTCCGCCACCGTTCCACCGCCCGACGCCATCGGAATCGCTGTTATCTGTTTCCATTCACTAAATTCACCGAGAAAAAAACGCAAGAAAATCCTTCATTCCTCTGTTTCTAACTAATAACATTTTGGACTCGTATTCTTGAAATCAAAAAATTTGTGAGAATATGGAGCTGAGGACCGCATTCTTACCTCAACTCGAAGTCAGGCAACCGCAGCTCACAGGATTTTTCCCGCGGCGTTTGACGATGAAGAGAGAGTTAGAAACTCCGGTAGTCGTTGCCGTTTCTAATAGTAACAGGTGACGAAATGAATTCTTGAGAATTTTTATGTCTTCTTTATTCATCAATTTGAAGAATATGAATATGATTTGTTTCTGTTGTTTTATTTTTTTTTTCCGGTGTTCAGAAGGTTTCTTAAGATTATCTTTTTCTTTACTTCGATTATATTGCATACAGTTTCTATTGGTACTCATAATTTTCAATTTTGTTGCATTTGAAGGTAATTGTGTAATTAGTTTACTGCTGGATTCATCGATGAAAGTGTTTTGCCTGTGCTTGATTAATGATCTTGCAAAAGAAAGAGTTTCTTGGGTTAGTTTCTTTGTCAAGTAACTTCGTAATTTTTCCACCCATGAGTCTGGGCATGAATTTCCAGCGGCTGGGTGTGGTCTTGGAACGTACTTCTGCTAAGGGGTTGGCGTTGGGTGTTTATATGCTTATACTTGGGCAGAGTTTCGTTTTATTTAGGATTGAATTTTGAACAAGTTGAATTAAGGCATGCTCAAGGTCGTGAGTGATGTAGATCGTTGGTGCTGAGTTTCCAGTAGTGGAGAGGCCATGGGCTATTGGGAAAGTGAATGGTTTTACATGAGTTATCTGGGATCTTCATCTATGACCTGCCAAATCATCCATCTTAAGTTATAAATTGCAGACTTTTGCCCGATCTTTTGGATGAAGTGTTTGTTAATAATGTCTATTGTATTTCTATGGAATATCTTGTATGTTAACTTTTGACCCTTCAACATTATCCATGTTATTCACGAAGCTGAAAACCTTTTGTGGCGTTGATCAGAAAGTGTGGAGTGATGTGATGGCCACTCCTTTTCTTTTCTTTTCTCTTTTTTTTTTTGGGGGTGGACGGGACGTATTAAAACATGCTGTTGCTGTTAAGATACCGTGGTACTTGACAAGTAATGGGCCCTAGTTGCAGACTTATTTTAAGCAGTCAAGATTATTGAAATTCATAGATGTGTAGTGTGTTACATGATGTCTCAGTTTATGAGAGTGATATGAGAAGCTGGACATGGAATAGGAATCAAAATGGAGAACTTACATTTCTTTAAGAGAGTATATTGGAAGACCTAACATCAAATTGTAATATAGAGCAATTATAATACGGATCAATTCTGAACCAAGAGTGACACCTTTAATGTAAAGGGTTAAGATTTAAGATATGGGGTTAGGTCTCTGATCCAATTAAGTTCCTCTTATATTAAGTTCTTAATAAGTGAAGTGAGCTCAAAGCTTACCAATAGGTAAGTCCAGTCTTCAGTTTAATTTTATTCATTGGATTTTTATGTGATGAGTTCGATTAGTTTTCCTTGATAAAGTTTCAAAGCTTTGAATAGAATTTGGATTTCAACTCTCATCCATTGGACTTTAAGGTGGATTTTTGAGTGTTTGCTTTCTAGATGAAACTGTTGATTTATGCTCTGAAGAAACGTAATCTGCATAATTTGTGCTGCAACCACCTACAGTCCAGAATCAGCTCAATAGACATGGTTGCTACGTTTTGCATCCATTAGGAACTTAGGTTCAACTCTGCAAAAACATGTTTTGAACCCTTTCTTTGGACTTATATAGGAATCACAGATAATATTGATGTAATGTTGCACGAATTCAGTGGTATAGTAAGAAAGTTTGTTACTCCATCCGTCCCATAGTTATTGTCCAGTTTGGGTTTTCATTTCTAGTTCAAATTGTACTAAAAGTAAAATCTCAAACTGGACAATAATTTTGGGACAGAGGGAGTATATGTTTAGAGAGGTTATTTCTGATAACTTGAATTTAATCCTGAAATTTGAAGTTTAGTTTGTTGTTGGAAAAAATTCTTTTCTTGCTTTCAAATATCTTGACTTGTCAGCTTGAACATGTATATGTTGCATTCAGTAAAGATTAGGGAAGTTAGCTTATGAGCCTGAGAAAGAACAATTGAAAAATGACAATGCAAGGGTGTTTTAAGATTAGTCTGAGTGCAGAAGTTGGATGCTTGGCCCTAGAAAAGTGGAAGAACTACATAGCTGTTTCTGTTCTTTGTACTCACAGCTATAAGTGTGGATAAATTGCCTTTGTTCTTATATTGCCTTCAGACCTTGAGATATTTCACAAAAAATTGGAAATGATGTAGACATGATTGTTCCCTTTGGAAACTGAGGAAATGAATTCTTGCCATTTATTTTCTTCACCAAACCATTTTGAAATTGGCCTAGGATCTGCTTAATTGTTGAGTAGGACCATTGCAGAAATATACAAACATTAGTGTCTAGAAAATTTTAGGATAAAGGATGTTGGGGGTTGGGGGGTGGAGAATAAAGCTAAGGCAATAATAGACTATGATATGTGGATTAACAGTTTCCTTATAGTGCGTTTGAGCATTGCATTTGGAGCTGAAAAATGGAGTCTTCTGTGAAGTAGATGAGATCAACTTTGTTGCCCCATTGTGAAACAATATGTTCAAATCAGTGATTATATATGTGCAGTAGCACATGAAATGTAAATGTATTAAATATTGAATCAGGAATTAGTTTAATTATGATGGAAAATGTTCTTGTGACTCCACTGTTTTATACGTCACCAGCCGTGATTAGCTCCAAGTGATCGGCATAATCATAAACATGGTGACTCTTTTTGTTTTGTTTTTCTTGTTTTTTTTACAATTATTGTTTATATTATATGTTTTTATTTATTTATTCGCATTTTTACTTTTCTAAATAAACAAACTGCAGCCGGACCTTGTCTTTTCAATGATTGAACGACTAGAAGCATAGCTCATGTTCTATCTTAAGCACTCTTGGACAAGTACAAGTGATTTTATCTTTATCATTCCAGAAGATAAATAATTTAATGATCTACAGTTATCTGAGGAAATTATTGTTTGTTAAATAAATCTGAAATTTACGTTTGGTACATCTATGCACATACTGAAATCTAACTTTTGGCATTCAATTCTTAAAGAGATACATTTCCCACTTCACATTGTGGATGGAAACATCTGGAAGTCCATTCCAATGATCACCAGAGGGTCCGGCACTTGCCTCTTCCTAAGGTTGAGAGCCCAAAGGGGCCTGAGCTTTCCTTTATTCGACTCCAACCAACTGACCAAGAGACTGCTGGATTGTATATGCGGAAGTTTGGGCGTTTTGTTGCTCGCGAGGCTTTGTTGGATGAAGAAATTTGGGTAGGTTTTCGTCTCTGTCTGTGCTGCTAGTTCGATATTTATTTCTTTTTATGAATTTACTATTCTGAAAGCATGTAAGAAGTACTGCTCATGTCTAAAACTTATACGGCAGACGGCTGCTTACTTAAGAGCTGAAGCTCATTGGGAGTCTGTATCCTATATGCGGTAAGTTTTTATTCCTCGGTGGCTCATAATCTTACCACTGGAGAACTTAACTCAGATTAGTTGGGGATTTTCAGGCACGTTGATAATTACAAGATAAAGTATGCTGAACAGGTTTGTTTCAATCCTGTATATTGTACCTTCTGCATTGCATGTGAAATTTCTAACCAGCGGTGTAGTATAGTGTAACTTTGAACGAAATGTAGAGATCTTTTCTATGAACATATTAAGCTTTGTTATTTTGAGGTTTTTGAGCAAGATTGTTGGAAGTGATCTTGTCTTTTTTGTTTGCTGACAATATATTTGAGGATAACATGGCTTTTTCATAAGGATTGGGGAAATAGTTGGCCTTCCATTTCTTTAGTTTTGTGTTTAGGAGCTAATTTTATTGTTTAAGTTGAGTACACAACTCTTGCCTTTTAGTCATTGGGAGTTTGGATCTTTTTAAGCTACAAACATAATAATTCAGTCGCCAGTGATGAGATCCTTATTGGTCAACAGTAAATGCCTGTTTGGACTTGTGGAAACATGTAGTGCTACCTACCTTTAGCACTAATCCTGGCATTTTACTTTCCAGGAGTTCTATGCTCTGAAGCGGAGATGTTCTGGCCAGGATGGAAATTCGTTGAAGTGCTTCTGTTTTGTTGCCGTAAGTGAAGAGAATCTATGAACTTGTGCTTCTGTTTCCTTCTCTTGCTTTTCTTTTTTCTATTAAAAATAATCTTAGATGTAATACAGTTGTTCCTTAATTTGTTGGATGTCAAAAAAGGATGCTCCGATTCTTCTAACCAAGATCATTTTTCTCTTAGTAATTTAGTGTAGTCCTATTTGTCAACAGCCATGTGTAATTGGTGAAAACTTTAAATCTTCTGGTTTGATTCTCCTAAGCCTGTCTACACAAGACCAGTGGCCAATTAAATGCTTTGCTTAGCAGTTGGGAAGAAGAATTTTTCAGTTTAAGGGGGATGGTGTGGTGTCTGTACTGTGAAGTGGTGATAATCTACAAGGTTGCAGCAATTTCATAAAAGAAATTCGATTTTAATTCCTATTTGTTTGACCTTTGGTGTTCCTGCAGCATTAATGTTTTTGACTATTTGTGGAAGTGTATTTTTTGCATTTTCCATATTGTCATTGAATTTACCCATTATATCTCCATTACCTGTGCAGTGGCTGTTATGTTTTTTCCCTTTTTATCCCCTTCTCATTTCTATTTTGTCTTTATCTTCTCTTTCTTTTATATTTTTATTTTTATAAACAAACAAAAAAAAGTGCTGTACAATGTAGTTCAATTTGTCAAACTAAAGCAAAGTAACAAGTAAGATTGATGTCTCAGTCCGCATTCCAATGTGACCCCTCTACCTATGATCCCAAGGAAACAAGGATCTGGTAACTTCCTCATGTATCAAGGCTGAATTGTTTCAAACAACATTCAATAGGTTGTGACAGAATCGCGGATAAGATTTTTATCTTTTGATGTAGTGTCTGTAGGACTTTTTAATGCATCTTGTGTTGATATTTATTAAAAAAATGTTTTTTTTCGTGAACATTGAATGTTACCTTACATCGACTTCGTTAAAATGTCAATTACTGAATCGTGTTGGATGACACTATTATTTTAGCTTGGTTACATCTTCTCACACTTATTTATTGTTTCAGGTTAAAAAGGAGGAGAAAAATGTCAGAAGGACAGTTATCAACAGCGTTGTCGGCACTTTGGACCTTAGTGTCCGGCAGTTTGTGCAAGGGGAAACATATCCTGGGGTATAGATTCATACATTTCCTTAGGCAAACATCTCTCCTCCCCCTTCCCAAAATGAACCCCAACCAGGATTGTCTTGGTACTCATAATTGCATACAGTGAAAAGCTTTCTGCCGTCATTGATCAACTACTTGCTCTCACAGTTTCAAATACTGTCTCAATTTTACCCTTATGCACCATTTTCAGGAGGTCAACAGAGTGTCACCTGTTCTAGTTCGTCATGATCCTTTTGACAGACACAAGTATGCATATATTTCAAATGTTTGTGTTGCTAAGTATGCTCGGCGACAGGGCATTGCCTCAAATTTGCTCTATTTGGCTACTGAAGTGGCTACAACAACAGGTGCTATCCTCAAATTTGAGCTTAACCCACTACATTGAAGAATATTGTCTGTTCTATATTGTGATCTTTTACACTTGGAATCCTGATGCAATTTTTACCTTGGTTTCTCAATCTGGTCGCAGGTCTAAAGCAATTGTTTGTTCATGTAAATGCCGACAACAAGCCAGCTCAAGAACTCTACGAAAAGACTGGGTTTAAGGTGCACTCTTGACCATTAAGCATGCTCAAACCCTGTAATGCTAAGCAATGGTGATTTGCATGTCTTGATATTGTATTTCATATTCTTAACCATCCTAATTTTTAGGCTCATCTTTTGATGCTTTCAAATTTTTTCTCAAGAATCTTGAACTTCTAATAGCTGGGGTCACAACTCATAACCTTTAGTTTGATTTTTTGTAGTTTCTAATTGGTTATCATTTTTCTTTTGTTTTTGGTCAGTATAAACCAGAAACTTATATATGGTCAGTCGGCCATTGTTTATGGTGATAGTTTCTTTTTCTTATGGTAATTTTTTTCTTTTTCTTTTCTTGGGTGATTTTTTTTATTTTTTTATTTTTCCTTGGGTGATTTTGTTAACATGAATGCTGTATGCAACTTCTTGGTTGTTGTCTCGAACAGTATCGATTATGAAGAATGCCATTCTACAAATTGCTAAAACCCTGGAGCCCTTATTGAAGTTCAGTTTTATAGTTCTGCATCTAGATATATTCAAGCATTTTGTTTCTCTTCATCTCTTCACTGATTGCATTTCAGCAGTTTCTAGAGTTAGCTCTGCAGATATGTTCTTAATACCTGAGTTTATTCATCTCGCTCTGCAGATTGTTGAGGCCTCTGCATCTACTCTTTCTAAAGATCAAAGGCTGCTGATGTCCATTGACCTATGAGTTCCACGTTCTCCACCAATTTGATGTGTCTATCTTAGGGTTGTAACTGTAATATAGTTTTCTCTCACAAAAATGAAGCTAATATAGCTCATTGGTTTGTATATAAGGTGGTTAATGATTGATTGGTATGACCAAAAGTCATTAGGTAGTTGGTCATGCATTTGTACATCTGTGGTTATTTCTGGTGTTGGTTGTGTCTCATTCGTTTCTCTTGATTGGAGGTTGCTTTTGTTACTCTGCATTCATCAGAGGCCTCTTCAACGTCAAGGGTGCAACCTGGAACCACAGGTTAGATGGGAAAAGTACTAGGCATGTTTTCTTTGTTCTCTTTGAGAGGTGTATATGTGAATATGTTTGTTGTCTTACAGAGATCATAAGAACTGGAGATTTTGTACTTGCTTTAATGAAATCCTTTGTTTCCTGTGGCGAGATTACCATAAACACTCTTGAGAAATTTACTGTTTGAAACTCTTCTTCAAATGTATGCCTCTGCTATTTGTTATGAAGCATTTTGATAATACGTACTTGAAAACTAGGTGTCTTTACTCGAAAATCTTACTGTCTCTCAAAAGGAGGAAAAAGAACAGAAAAGTAATACATTTTTCTCAAACAGAATGGAGGGATTGATTCTGATTATCACTAGCAAAGTTTCTTCTTCTTAGATATATAGTACATGATTATCATCCTTTCATTAGAAGCTAAATAATTCTGGGAGAATACTGTGAGAACTAAAAAGTAGTTTAGAGCAACTAAAATGATGGCTTTATTTCAATAATCCCACAACCAAGGGCACCCCCTGAATTTCCATTAATCTTGGTATCTTCATGTGCACCTCTTCCTTGCCCATCTGCCTCAGCACGAACAACAATCGGCCGACCAAGGATAGAATTAAGGCCGTTAAGTTGGATAGTTGCCGTTTTGATTGAGACCTCGGCAATTCCATCTGGACCGGCAACAATGTTTCCCAAATGGCCGGTGTGATGATTTGTATCCAAAGGCGCTCCATGATCCCAGTTAAACGGATTAAAATGAGGTCTGATGGAATCACAGCTTCCGGTTGAATGAATACTTAATCCATGAATGCCGGGAGAAAGTCCTACGATTCTTCCTTTGATGCGAGTTGTTCTTTCAGTGGAATCCTGCAGGAAATGAAGAGAGCCCTTTACTCTGTTGTCGGCACTACCACCGGAAGAGGTGATCTTCGCTATAGCTTCAAGGGAGCCTTTTATACCATTTTTGCTAGTATCGACGGAAGCAATGATTTTCGCCATTGCTTCAATAGACTCCTTTACGACATTTTCCCCAATGCCGGCGGAAGAGATCATCTTTGCCACTGCTTCAAGTGTTCCGATCTCGATTCCTGCAGGCCCTCCTCTTCCTATCGCCACTTGTTTTCCAAAAAAGAACAACGAAATAGAAGTAATTAATCTTAGTAACTGAGAACTTCTTTAAGTGCCAGCGATGTGATATCTATTTTATTTTTTTATTTTTTTTTTGGGAAATTCAATGGCATTTTATCAACTAAAACATGTAAAAAGAATCTGAACCAAAGGAAAATACATAGAAAGGAAGAGATTTTCATCTTAAACCTACTTGTCTTGGGTTCAAATACTGGTGGAATTTGATCTTCTGCTACTACTAAGGTCTCGTTGCAATAACTTATGCACCTCAAGTTGCCTATTCCGCAGTTCATGTAGCAAATAGGGTTCACCAAACATCCCATTGAGCACTGAACCGTTTTTACGCCACAGTTAATGAAACAACTAAAAATCGGCAGCGGGCCTTGTGCATGAAACACTGGAGGAGATAGCAGCAACACAAACAAAGCAGCGCTGGCCAACCATTTTCTGGCCATCTTGTAATCAAGAAAATCAAATTGTGATTCTCTGAAAAAAAAAAAAAAATTATTCTATACCGAAATTTAGAGTATTTTTGAGAGTTGGATTGAATTTTTTCTTCATTGATTTGCTCATAACTAGTTGTTGAAGGTGATTTATAGGCGTCTTTGCAGTTATGTTGCGTAGGTTCCTGCAGTTTAAGCAAAAGGATAACGGTATCAAAGAGTTTTTAGACTTAAATCAAAACCTGGTAGCAATCCAAAACGCAACCAATCATGAAAATGAAATGGTATTGCTACAATTTTTAGATTAATATATGGTCGTTCAAATGACCAGGAATGAGTTATGGACACATAATCACTTGGCACGTGATAAATATTTAATATATTCGTTTTTTTTTTCCGGAATCATGATAAAAGATTTGTATGTTATTGAACATATCTCTTTTTTCTTGGGCGATGGATGGAATTAATGTTTAATTTAAACTAATTTTTACTTCATAAAATACCACAACAAATTAAATACTACTCCTAGGAGTTTTCGCACTTTGTTTTCAAATTCAATATGTCTTAATACATCAAGTTAATCAAATTCCTAATTTCTGTTAATTGGCCTAAAGAAGACATAGATGGGAGAGTAGCTAATGAGACAGCTATTTTTTTTACCCCTAACTTGGTATGACATATGGTGCTTGACATTATAGTATATGTATGATTTTTATATATTAGTTTTTGGGATAAAACAATCGAATTTTAGTCTAGTTCCATCCTGAGATAGTCAGAATCTGTCTCCAACCAAATGAGATCAACGAAAACTTACACCAAAATGTTCTATTCTCTACTCAAAGTTTGCTAAAAGTTCAAAATTTTGCTGTAATATTTCTCTTGATTTTACAAAGAAACTAAAAAGAAATACCTTGACTTTTAGCCAACTTATTTATATCCCTCTATCGCTCCCCCTATTTTTCCACTTTTCTTTCCTTTTCTCCTTGCTTTTCCTTCATTGATTTTTTTCTTCCTTCTTTTTTTTTTGAAAGTCAAACATCTATACACTTTTTCGTAACCATAAAAAGTATATACACTTTTTTGTTTTGTATGATTTGTTTAAGAAATTATTTATTTTGTTGCTTTTTTCTTGAACTTTTTTCTTTTTCATAAGCGCATTCAAATGTGTTTTCAACATTTGTCTATTTTTTTTTTCTGTTAAAACTTAAACAAGTTCAATCAAAGTAGACCATTAGATACTAACTTTAATTAAAATATTGAAATTCTGTGTAAATAACCTCATTTAGGTATTAGCCTTAACCAAATCAAAATTCTTGGTGTTCTCCGAAGATGATCCGCTATTTAAAAACTATAGATGTGGATTGTGTTTATAGCCGGTCTACGCATACGGGAACGAGTTCAGCTAGAGGACTAAGAGGAATAGAGAGTTATTCATATGGCTACGCCAATATTTGGACGAAATTATGGAGTACATTTCAGGGACTACAATTAATGAGCTTGGAGGTCGTATAGTGGATGCTGGAGTAGAGGGTCAATGCATTCTTCATGTGTTTTGGAAGACTAAGTTTGGAGCGGATTTTTAGGTTTTGCGGGTTACTCAAAGTCGGGTGCACTCGCTCAAAAGTCAACTGTAATTGTATCATAATTTATTAGAGTAGTATACTTTCGTAATGTACTAGTTTAATTTTAGGAATTTTACCTTCTTTCATTGTACCAGAAAAATGTGTTCTAACAATAATCGAGGGAGAGGATGAGGATTTGGGAACTCATGGTGAACTTGCCCGGGCAACAGAGATTTGAGAAACATAGAATGAATAGCTGAGCTGGAGCTAGCTAGAATTTGTTTAATTACAGAGCCTTTTTTTTTTTTTTTTTTGGAGCTAGCATGTGTTTAATTAAAGAGCCTAATTCTGTAGATAATTTTCTGGTTAATTTCAATTGTCTTTCAATGTCCCAATGACTTCTTGATGATCCCAGGAATAGTTATGTTGTAATTGCATCATGATATAGTTGGAAATTTTTATCCTCACGCATGTTTAATTAACTTAACTAATGGGACAAACTTAAAAAAAGAAAAAGAAAAAAAGGAGGAATATACCAAGAAAAGGAACAGAAAAACAATATTCTTTCTTGAAAAAGGCGAGATCAACTTCGAAATTCTTTAACAAAGTTCTTTTTCTTCGGACTAAAAGGTACTCATTCCATCTCATAAAAATATTCAACATCGTAAAATGTACTCTCTCTATCTTAAAATTATTGTCCAGTTTAAGATTTTACTTTTAGTATAATTTGAACTAAAAATAAAAACCCAAACTAGATAATAATTATGTGACGGAGGAAGTAGTATTTTTGGTACAATTTGTAATTTACAACATGTAGTACTCCCCCCATCCCAAAATTATTATACCGTTTGGCTTTTCACATTTAATTTATTTTGTACTAAAAATGAAAATTTAAATTGTACAATAGTTTTAAGACAGAGGGCATATATTTTTGTGGATTAGAGGGAGTACATAATGTAAGTAAACTACTACAGGAACTGAATCGCAGTAAAGCTAAATGGACGTCTTGATTTCAATAGTCCCACAACCAACTGCTGCACCTGAATTTCCATGAACAAAAACCGCCTGACCAAGGACAGGGTTTTCGCCTACAAGTTGGATTCTTTCCTCTTCGCTTGATACCTCGGCGATTCCATCAGGTCCGGCAACAATGTTTCCCAAATCACCGGAGTAATGATTTTCGTCCCAAAGCGTTCCATAAACTTTGTTAACCGGTTTAGAACGAGCTCCAACGGAATCACAGTTTCCGGTTGAATGAATACTTAATCCATGAATCCCCGGAGAAAGCCCTATAATTCTTCCTTTGATAAGAGTGGCTTTCTCGGTGGAATCCTGACGGAACTGAAGAGATCCCGTTACATCATTTTCGATACTGCCGGCGAAAGAGGTGATCTTCGCCATTGCTTCAAGAGAGCCCTTTTGCCCGTTTCCTTCAATATCTACAGAAGCAATAATTTTCGCCATTTCTTCAAGAGAACCCTTTATGCCATTTTCCCCTATGGCGCCGGCTGAAGACATCAACTTCGCTACTGCCTCAAGTGTTCCAACCTCCATTTCCGCTGCCACTTGTTTTTCCAAAAAGAATAACCAAAAAATAAGTAAAAAGTATTAATCCCAGAAAAATAAAAAATAAAAACAAAGTAATTGTTTCCTTCACTACATTTTTTGGATATTCAATTGCAATTTACAAACTAAAACATGTAAAAGAGAATCTGAATTGAGACTTATGTCTAAAAATGGAAAGACTTTTATTTAATTAACCTTACTTGATTTGGGTTCAAATAGTGCTGATGGAATTGGATATTCTGCTACTATGGTGTGATTCTGCTTGCATGAACTTATACAATTCAAGTTGTTCATTCCGCAAGTCAAGAAGCAAATAGGGTTTGATAAACATCCCATTGCGCACTGAATCACTTTGACTCCACAGCCAATGAAGCAAGCAAAATCCGGCATTGGTCCTTGTGCATGGCATACTGGATTAGATAGTACCAACACGATTACAGCGGCAAAAGCCAACCAATTTTTCGCCATGGCACAGTTTTTGTTAAGCAAATCCATTTTAAGATCAGGAAAAAAGAATTGTGATTTTTGGGGAAAAAATTTATTCTATACTGAAATTTGGGGTAGTTTTGAGGGTTGCATTGGTTTTTTGTTGATTTGCTCATAAATAGTTGTTGAAAGTGATTGATAGGCTTCCGTGCAGTTACATTACACACGCTAATACATTTTCATGCAAAGCGGATAATTAACGGTATCGAAGAGTTTTTAGACTCAATGCAAAAACCTGAAATATACAGTAATCCGAAACGCAACCAATCATGAAATACTAGTGCGAAACGTTTGATTAATGTGGTCATTCAAGTGAATGGGAATCATACTTGGCACATAATCACTTGGCATAGGATAAATGAATATACCCCATTTAACTTTATCGACATAGAGTTGAGTATCTTTTAGGATGGAAGGATTACTTCAACGTCGACTAACTTTAATTTGCTTCATAAAATATCACGCCCACCGCAACTAATTTTTTTTTGTTTTTTTTATTATTTAATCATACATGTATTGACCGTTAATTTTTACCTTTTTTTAAAAAAACAAAGAAAATTTCATTACAATTGTTAGAAATCAGCCAGTTCTGATTGATACAAACCGTCCAACGACTGACCGGAAAATACAATCACTAAACTAGTCACTAAACTATTACAACTGGAAATACAAAATAAAACTTTCACCAACCAGTTGCTATTTCTAGGAGGAAATATCCTCCAACGGCATGATTCTATTGTTTGACATACGACGGAATAGATTAAAAATCTGAACTCGAGTAAGTCAGTAACCATCGGATTAAAGCTCCAATTAGTAAATATGGATAACAGATTCACCGTCATTGAATATTCTCAGGCCAAACTAGCAGTCATTAAATACGATGTGTGATAATCAGCAGATCAAACAAGATCTACTGAGTCACAGAAAGCAAACAACAACAAACCTGACTCTATTAGCACACTGAATTCACTCAGAATAGAATCAGACCAGGATCTATACTGAGGGAGGAAAATCTCACTTAATTGAATTAAAACACAACGATAAAAATAACAAAAATAAAATAAGATTAAATTAAATAGATACCAACACAACACCACCCGCCGATCTGATAAACAGAAACAATCACCTATGGAGATGAGTGAACGATACCGATCTCAGGACGACGAGTAACAGTACCGACGGTGCTTCAGTCTGACCAATACTCTGATTTTTCGGAGATTGAATCAGATCGCCGACATACAATTTATGTTAATGACGCCGACGGTGGTGCGGGTACTTCACAGCCTGTGGGTAGATGTGTATTTTTCTGTTTAATCGGGTGGCCAATAACAAAATCCGGTGGATGGAAGAAAAAAGAGTAATTTTGCTCCCCCAACCACCGTTAATGGAGGTTGGGGGAGGAGAGCTGGCGGTGGTTTTTTTTGGAGAGAGTGGGGAGGGTTTTTTTTAGAGAGAGTGGAGAGACCGCGTAAAAAATCTCCTGTAGATACTACCGTTAATTTTTACCTCAGTTTGCATATTAAGAGAATTAATTAAGTTCTTAATTTTTATCAATCGGGTTAAGATGACATAAAGCTTGAAGAGCTGTCATACTTGGGTATATTACCCTATGAATTACCACTGTCCTTGGAAAATCATGTTGATTATTTGGAATGGAATGGAGACATGGAAATTTTGTTTGGTGCACGTGATAATACTTGTGATAAGAAGAAAATTGCTCTAGTTTTGGTGTAATTTTCATTGTAATTAATGTTGGAGATTGGTGGAAGATAACATTTGATGTGTACTCTCGTCATTGGTATCAACAACTTAATGAATGTGAATCACTTAAGCGTGTTATGCCCAAAGGGTTTTGAGCCTTGTAACTTTTATAGGAATCGAAGCTGAAGTTGTTCGATTGTAAGCAAAGTGATAAATATATCAAAACCTACTCTGAAGAAGTTGAACTTGTGTATGCTTTGAGTGAACTTGATGAAAGTGGTTATACTTATATGTTAAACAGATCATTCTCTTCATAGTTTGGAAGTGGAGTAGAAATGTAATCCTTCGGTGATGAAGGAATTGGGTCTTGATCATGCTTACTTTGCCACTTTTATAGGCCGAGGAACTACACAATGTTGCACTAGGTTGGAAATCTAGAGGTTCCATGTGAATCATGGTGATGTTGGTTTTGAAACTTGCATTGCGATTGGACAAAGGATATCCCATACTAAGTCTTACCATGGAATGAGTGACGATCTCTCCTTGGTAATGTATTTGATGAGGGTCGTCTAATCGAATTGAACCGGATTCGCTAAACCCTTGTAAGCTTCATTGGCTACATAAAGGGCAACTCAAAAAACTTTGGTTGTGTTTTCTATCGCATAGACCATGGCAATTTGATGTAAACGCTTTGCACGATTTTGTTGAGAATTATATTTTCTATGTGCGTGGTAGTAAGGTTGCTCTCAAATCCATCACACTAATATGTGTTCTTTTAAAACTTTTCGTGGAAAAAGAAGAAAAACTAAGTGAGAGACACAAGAGAATGAAAGAGTCGAAAGGGTGACACTAGCTGTTTAGTGGTAACTGTGAGATCAGACATTGAAGTGAGAAAAATAAAATAAAATTATTCACCTCGAATTTGGATTACTTGTAACAATAATTTTAGATTCCAGGTGTGTGATATATCTCCAAAGAATCCGATAAAAGTAAAAGAAACACACAGAAAATTAATTAGTGATGAGGGTGAGATCTTACCACTAACCAAATATCTTTTTGTTTGGTCTTTGCGTGTATCTGATGGTACATATATGGTCTTAAAAAAAAGGGGCCTAAAGCAGTAGCTTCACCAGATTTACCCTAAAGCTGGCACTGATTTAAAATATCTTGTTTCCTTTTGTTTTTTTTCTTTTTGGTTTTTTTTTGGTCTAAGTACAATATTTAAAAAAAATGATTTGAAAAAAATAATTAAACTAAAATAATTGTACTATTATTTATAAAAGTAATAGTAATATCCTTTTATTGAATGATAAATGTTATCAAAGGGATTGACCTTGAAAATTGTTTTTATGAATAGGTCACTTTTAAAGGTCTTATTAAAATATCAAAATAAGACACTTTTAATTGATCAATTTATGTTATATTTTGAGGCACTTTTAAGTGTTCTATTAGTTAACCTTATGGGACACAAAACTTAAATGGACACTTAATAATTGTGTCTTATACTTGTACACTTTCTAAAATTTTAATGAATATTTTTCAGGAAAGTGTCCTATTACATACACTTATAAGGAAAATTGTTCCAAAGTAAAGGTATTAATAGAGCTACTTTGGTACAGTGGATGATGTAATAGTTGGGTCTTTGTTTATGTAGGCAAACCCTAAACCCGTTAATATTCGGGGGAGTTGTTTCTTCTAGGGTCGTGTTGATTGAATTGTTTTCAACTAATCTATTTTTTTTTTCACATATTTTGGTGTTAAACACACGATTTCATAAGAGAAGGAAAACATTTTATTTTCTTCAAACAGGATAATCAAGAAAATGAAAAATGCAAGATCAACTTCGAAATTCTTCAACAAAGTTTCTGTTAATGAACAGATCGTCATATAAAAGGTGCATAATCCAAGTAAAATACTAGCGGAAACTTAACTGTACGTAGACTAAGCTAATTAAATGGATGGCTTAATTTTAATAATCCCACAACCAACTGCAGCCCCTGATGAATTTCCATTAATGTTGGTATCTTCATGTGCATTTCTTCCTAGATCATCTACACCAGAATGAACCAGAATTCCCCGACCAAGAACAGAGTTAACGCCATTAAGTTGATTTGTTTCATCTTTGATTGAGACCTCGGCGATTCCATCTGGACCGGCAACAATGTTTCCCAAATCGCGGACCCAGTTAAGTGGATTAAAATGAGGTCCAACGTTATCGCAGCTTCCGGTTGAATGAATACTCAATCCATGAATGCCTGGAGAAAGCCCTACAATTCTTCCTTTGATGTGAATTGTTCTTTCAGTGGAATCCTGGAAGAACTGTAGAGACCCCTTTACACCATTTTCAACAGTTCCGGCGGAAGAGGTGATCTTCGCCACCGCTTCAATTGTTCCGATCTCGATTCTGGCAGCTCCTTCTCTTCCTATAGCCACTTGTTTTTTTTCCCCAAAAAAAAAAAAAAAAAAAAACAAAAGAAAGAAAATAAGTAATTATAGTCACTGCCTGTTTTGTAATCTCTATTTTTTATTTATTTATTTATTTTTTTTTTGTAAATTGGGGAAATTAAATTTCATCTGGTCAACGAACACATGTAAAAAAGAATATGAACTACAAATCATATACTCCATCCGTCTTAAAATGATTATTCACTTGAAATTTTCATTTTAATACAGTTTGTTCTAAAAATGAAATTCTAAACTAAAAAATTATTTCCTGAGGATAAAATATAAAAAAAAAAGGATTTATATTTAACCTTACTTGTTTCGGGTTGAAATAGTGGCGGAAATTGATATTCTTCTACAAAGGTCTCATTGCATATGGTTATACACCTTATATTACCAACTCCACAGTTAAAGTAGCAAATCGGACTAATCAAACACCCAGTTACGCACCGAATCATCTTGACCCCACAGTCAATCAAGCAACTTGCCCACGGCTGTGGCGGCGTTGGCCCGGCCGCCACACCGTTTGACCCTAGGGCTTGAACCTCTGGATTAGATAACACCAACACAAATACAACCGCAGTGGCCAACCATTTTTTCGCCATCTTAAAATTATAATCTTGAAAACCGAATTGGAATTTTCTGAAAAAAAAAATTATTCTTTACACTGAAATTTAAGGGTATTTTTGAAAGTTGAGGTGATTGATCTTTTATTCATGATTTGCTCAGATCTACATACATATATAGTTTCTTTTGAAGGTGATTTGGAAAGGGATTCCGTGCTTGTTTATGTTTACGTTCATGCATTTCATGCAAAGGGGATAACCTACGGTATCGAAAAGGATTTTAGACTGAAAACAAAAAAATCCTCAAATATAGTAATCCGAAAACGCAACCAATCATGAAATATTAGTGCTACAGGTTGGATTATTATGGTCGCGTTCAAGTGATCAGTGGAATCTGGAATCATGATACACTCGACACATAATCACACGGCACGAGAAAAATCAATTTTGTCCCTTCATCATCACAAAACGACTGTTTAAAATAAGTATTGTTTTTTTTGTTTTTGTTTTTTTTTTTCATATTTATAGGGTGTTCACGGTCAGCAACATTGACTAATTCCCTCGCTGAATGGTAAGCACCTCAATGAATAGGACAGCTGACCAAATTATTTAAGACTGACTTTTGCTTTATAAAATATCATGTCCACCACTACAAATTCACTAAGAAGTTTCATACTTTTTTTTTTGTCATAATCAATTAAAATAGTCATTGTGGACTGTGATACTTTTAGTTTTTGTATTTTGACGCCCATTTGCGATACACATGGTGACATTCTGTTATACATATAACTGGATTGTTTTACTATTGTTTTTTTTTATAAAAAATATAGTCAATGTGGACTAAACTAGACAATCAGCAACTTTGTTTGCTCAGAAATCAGTTGGAGCAACCTTTGTTGCGAGTTAGCTATTGAAACTTGCTAAGTATGGAAAACATGTTTATAGTACGTTATCACTGATTTGATTTATATATAACTCATTTTGGATTTCATCGTCCATGCATCTGTTTTTTTTTTTTTTTGTTTTTTTTTAAATTTAAAAAAATTGTCTCTGGAATCTGAATTCTTAGCGCTAGCTTTTGTTGGTATATATTCTCGCTTTCTGGTACTAAATTATTGAAACATCGAACTCGAGGCTCAAGATTTGAAAAGGAAATAAAAAAGAAAAGAAAAGAAAAGATCTGATGTAAGGACTTCAAACATGAAACAAAACAAGTTATTGAACACACTTTTGAATCCGTGAACGAGAAGTAAAATCGCACGATAAATAATGCGTGAAGTGCCAAATGACTAAATCCACGAAGAGCTCAAAACTTGGATGAATCTATCCATTTGTTTATGGATATCTCTAGTAATAAATTCTTTTTTCTTATTTTCCCCTTTGCCATATCAGTCGATAAGATTCTGTTTTTGTTTTTGAATCGCGTTAATATGGTTATGTAAAATAAACTAGTTTTAAAACCTGTGCAAACGCACAGGACATTCATAGTAACATAGATTTTTTACAAATTATAAGATCAATCATTACAAATATTTTTTTTAAAAAATAGTTAATTAAAATTTGGGTCACATGAACAAATGCTTTTAAATTACATTTTTTTTAAAACACTACAAATATAAATAATTAAGAAATTTATTGTATAGAGATAAATGAAAAGAAGTTATTAAAAATTATTTTGCTATTGATAATACGTGTAAAGTGCCACTTTTGGACCCCTTTTAAATGTTGAAGAAGTATTTTGGCAGAGTTATGTTTTTAAAAAAATGGTTAAAATAAAGCTTATTTTAATAATCCTCTTCTTTGCCACAATCCATGATGAAGCTAAAACAAAATTTCAACAATAATTCACCACTTTCACATTGTCTAGTAAACCTTCTTAGTTGTTGATTCATTTTTTAGTGTCTCAGGCACTTAGAATAGGGAAATTGTATTGAATTCATGATATGTTGTGCACAATATACAGATTATATATAGACAATAACAAACCCTATAATAGGAAATATACTAAATATTACAATACGCCCCCGCAAACTCACGGCAGAGAAGAGAGAAGCCGAAGTTTGTCCCGAAATCGAAAGAATAACTCTTTGGACAAGGGTTTTGTCAGAATATCAGCAAGCTGATCAGCAGCAGAGATAGAATTGATCGAAACAAACTTACGCCGAACATGATCTCGAAAAAAGTGAAAATCAACCTCAACATGTCTTGTACGAGCATGGAACACAGGATTGACAGCAAGGAAAACTGCACTACTGTTGTCACACCAAATAGAGGGAGGGCGATTTAAAGAAACGCCTAACTCGGACAACAGATGACACACCCAATGCAGTTCAACACAGACATTAGCAACCGCACGAAACTCGGCCTCGGTAGACGAGCGAGCCACGGTGGGCTGCTTCCTAGATGCCTGTGCAATGAGATTAGGTCCCAAATAAATGAGAAAACCAGTAGTAGAACGACGATCATCCGGACAACCAGCCCAGTCAAGATCACTAAACGCAGAAGAGTGCCCAAATCAGAGGATGCGAACTAAATGAAATCAATGGTACCACGAAGATAGCGAAGAACCCGTTTGAGAGCCCGAAAATGAGAAGTGCGAGGTGATGCATGAACCGACAAAGCCTATTAACCGCAAAGGAGATATCGGACGAGTGAAAGTGGTATACCGCAGACTGCCACACAACCGACGATAAGTAGTCGCATCATCAGGAGACAACAGAGTATCATCCAAACGGGACAACACAACATTAGCCTGCAAAGGAGTGGAAACAGGTTTGCAAGTATGCATATTTGCAAGTCGTAGCAAATCAGTGACATACTTGCGCTGAGAGAGAAGCAAACCCTTGGAAGTACGACGAACCTCAAACCCAAGAAAGTAACTCAATGGACCTAAATCCCGAAGAGAAAACTCCTTAGCAAGACAAGAGATAAAATGCTGGACCAAACCAGAAGTGCTGCCTCTAAGAATAATGTCATCCACATAGACCAGCAAAAAACACAACTGCGACCCACGTCGATAGACAAAAAGAGACGGATCACAACGAGACTCCACAAAACCCAAGGTAAGTAGAAATGCTGCCAGCCGAGAATACCAGGCCCGAGGAGCTTGCTTAAGACCATACAAGGACTTATGCAGTTTACACACATAATGAGGGCACACCGGATCAACAAACCCCTGTGGCTGAACCATATACACGGTCTCACTGAGAACACCATTAAGAAAGGCATTACTGACATCAAGCTGAGACATCGACCATCCACGAGCCAGGGCAACAGTCAAAACGGAACGAATGGTGACCGGCTTAACAACCGGACTAAAAGTGTCAGTGTAATCAACTCCAAAAGACTGAGTAAAACCTCGAGCCACCAACCGAGCCTTATACCGCTCAATAGAGCCATCAGCATGAGTTTTAATCTTATAGAGCCATCGATTGCCGACAACATTGCCGGAGGAAGGAGGGGGAACTAAAGTCCATGTGTTATTTTTGAGGAGGGCGGAAATTTCATCCTTCATGGCATTCTGCCACTGAGGAAGAGATTTGGCTTGGGTAAAGGATGTAGGAGCAGTAGACAAGGCTGGGGAAACAGAGGTAAGATGAGCCGAGGGATCAAAGATTTTCTTGGGCTTGGGTTGTGGACGAAGTGTCATTGAGTGCTGACGAGAAGAAGGAGGAGGAGGTGGTGGCGGAGGACTGCAATCAGATGATGAAGGGCTGGATGCAGGAGATCTAGCTAAAAGTGATGAGTCGGGAGGGATAGGAGGAGACGAAAGAACTGGTGTACTAGAAAGAGACGAAGAAGACGCAGAAGACGACGCAAGTATACCAGGAGAACTGGTTACACGCAACCAAGGGGTAGCAGAAGACTCCAGCAGCGAAGAAGGAGAACTAGAAATAGGAAGTTTAAAGGGAAAGAGTTTCTCATCAAACTCAACGTGACGAGCAACATAAAGACGGTTATTCACCACATCAAAGCAACGATAACCAAGATGAGATGGAGAATACCCAAGAAAGATACACTGAGTAGAACGAAAGGAGAATTTATGTTTATTATAAGGGCGAAGAAGAGGATAGACAGCGCAACCAAAGATACGAAGAAAGGTATAATCAGGTGGCTGGTGATATAGTGTAGTGAAGGGTAGGTGACCTTGAAGAGGTTTACTAGGGTGGCGATTAATCAAAAACACAGCAGTTTCAAAAGCAAACTCCCAAAACCGAAAAGGGGTACTGGAATGGCCAAGAAGAGCAAGTCCAATGTCGACAATGTGACGAATTTTGCGTTCAGCAGTGCCATTCTGCTCATGAGTGTGTGGACACGCTAAACGATGAACAATACCAACTTCCTTAAAGAAAGAATTGAGAGAACGAAATTCACCACCCCAATCAGAGTTAACACTTTTAATGGTAGTGCCAAATTGGTTTTCTACGAGAGCTTTGAATTGCTTGAAAACATGGACAACATCACTTTTATACTTAATTGGATAAATCGATGTGAATAAAGAGAAGTCATCAATAAAAAGCACAAAGTAGCGATAACCATTGAACGACAAAATAGGAGCAGGACCCCAAACATCAGTGTGAATTAAATCAAGAGGTTTAGAGCTATGATGAAATGTAGAAGGTAAACTGACCCTATGTAACTTCCCTAAACAACACGCCTCACATTTATCAGTGGACGTGGACACAGAAGAGTAAGGAAGTTGAAACTGCCTAACCAAAGTACGAAGAGTGACATTATTAGGGTGCCCTAAACGGGCATGCCACTGACCTAAAGAGACAAGATAAGCTGCTGGAGACAAGGAACCACGAGTAGGAAGATCTAAGCGATAGAGACCATTATCAGCCCGACCGCGGAGGAGGAGTTCCTTGGTTGAAAGATCCTTAACACAACAAGAGTCAGAATAAAATTCAAAGAAACAATGATTATCACGGGTAAACTTTTGAACAGATAACAGAGGTTTAGTAAGAGAAGGAGCATGCAAGACACGATTTAAATAAAGAGGACGAGAAAACGATGGCAAAACAGATTGACCAACATGCTGAATAGGTAAAGCATCTCCATTACCAACTAAAATATGATCCGTACCAGTATAATCATTGGAGATACTGAGAGAGGACAAATCTGGTGTGACATGATCGGTAGCACCAGTGTCCGGATGCCAGGGAGTGACAGAAGGTGCATACTGCACCATATGGGCTTGAGGAGACATAGTCGCCTCCGGGTAAGACGGAAGAGGCAACAAACCAGCTGAAGGCGGTGCGGGGAACTCGCACTGGCATAAGCAACCGACCGAACGGCGGGGGTCGAGGAACAAAATTAGTATCAAAACGGCGTCGACAAGTGGCGGCCGTGTGATTCAAGATGCCGCAAAGCTGACACGTCTCACCCGGAGCGGGAGGGGTGTAACCACGCCGACCACCACCACGACCAGAAACCTGATTGCGCCGGCCGCCGCGTTGCGAGCGACCGGTACGAGAGGATTGAGGCGGCGTAGCAGAAGGTGGCGACTGCACAAGCATGGCTGTGGGCTGAAGGACCGGCTGTTGAGCGTGAAGAAGCACCTCATATGAAACTAACTGTCCAAGGAGATCTTGATAGGAGGGGGTTTCGGATCGCTGTTGCAGAGCTCCGATGATGCCATTGAATTCGGCACCAAGCTTGCGGAAGATTATGGCATTAAACTCCGCAGGAGATATGCGATGGCCGGCAAGCTGCAGCGTATCGGTGATGCCCTTCGCTTTGGAGAGGAGAGCTGTGACCGACAAGTCACCTTTTTGCAAGCTGTGGAGCTCCATAACAAGCTGGGTCTGTTGAGCATAAGAAAGAGTGCCGAAACCCTGCTGAAGAGCTGTCCATGCAGCCTCCGATGTTGTGCAGCCCTGGAGAACGGGAAAAATCTCTTCAGGAACGGAAGAAAGAATCCAAGAGAGGACCAACTGATCCTTTTGCTGCCAGATATCAAACTCAGGATTGAGTTGGGGCACGGCACCACTAACAGAAGGAAGAAACCGTGGCGGTGCAGGTTCGGTGCCGTCGATAATACCGGCAACACGAAACATAGTCAATAAAGGAGTAAACTGAAGACGCCAAGACGAATAGTTGGCTCGCGATTGCAGCTTCACAGTAAAGGAATGATTGAGAGATTGCATACTAGGTTGAAGAATTGATACTGATGTCTGTGAAGAAGATACCGGTGACCGAAGATGAGTAGCCTGGTCAGCGGATGAAAGGTCGGTGATAGTCATCGTTGAAAGTAAGCAAGCAAAACGGAATTCTTTATGATTTTTTTTTTGTTTTTTTGTTTTTTGGTTTTTTTTTTCTTTTTTTTTGTTTTTTTTTTTGTTTTTTTGTTTTTTTGTTTTTTTTTGATTTTTTTTTTTTGGTTTTATTAGAAAGCCGCACCAATCACCGAGAACAACGAGCGGCGGCGGCAGGGAGGGTTGGATGGGAGAAGGCGACGACGCCGGCAGCAGCAGCGGTGGAAGACAGAGGACGAAGCACCGACGACGCCGACGACGAACCGTCAACAGCAAAACGCCGGCAGCAGCAACGGAGATGATGGAGAGGAAGCGCCGGCGATGATGGAGACAAACAAGTTGCCGACCGAAAAAAACAATCGGCCAAAACAGACAGGCGATGATGGAGAGGAAGCTGCCGGTGATGAGGAAACAGACAGGCAGCAGCAGCAGCAGCGGCGGCAGCAGCAGTACTCCCTCTGTCCGGCGAAGACGAAGACGAAGACGAAGACGACCGGCGGCAGCAGCAGCACACTACGGCGAAGACGACCGGCGGCGATGCTGAGCTTGGTCGTCGGCAAAGAGCAGAAGAAAGAAGCCGACTACGGCGGAGGAGGTGTGCACGGCCGATAAAGAAGGAGTCAGCAGGGGAGAGAAAAGAGAGAGGAGAAAAAAAATTGGTTTTGTTAAACCTAGCTCGATACCAACTTAGAATAGGGAAATTGTATTGAATTCATGATATGTTGTGCACAATATACAGACTATATATAGACAATAACAAACCCTATAATAGGAAATATACTAAATATTACAATACAGCCTGAATGATTTTTGGAGTATGGTCATTAATATGCCATTAAAATCAAACATGCATGATTCATTTTATAAAAATTCATTTAATTCCAGAAACAGCATCGACGGATGACTCCAATTGAAGTAGTCGGGTTGCAACCGGTTTTTGAGGATATCTATAGTACTTAATTAAAGCAGCAAACAAAAAGGACATGTGTCACTAGTACAATGAAAATTTTCTCGTCAAAAGCCATTTTCAGTACAAAATCATTTTTGACACGTGACACTCTAACTAATCAGAAAAAAAAGATAGAATAGATAAATACATAAATCCCCTAATTATAGTTACATAAAAATATCTTAATTATAGGTATATACTAATCATTTAAAACAACAATATTTAGTTGATAAAATCAAATACTAGGAAATCCCCTTAAATCAAGTGAAACACAGTAATATCTTCCCAATCCCCAATTTCAAAGAATCTCTTCCATTCCGCTCCTCTCTCATGTCCGGGCCTTTAAATCAATTACTTAAAATCTGACATCAATTATCAATCCATCTCTTTCTACAACAGATAAAAAATAAGTTGTCATGAAAGAAATTTGATTTTTTAAGGATGATTTTTTTTTTATTCTTCTGTTGTAGATATTGGTTTATGATTTATGTAAACCCGAACATAAGTTAACTGTTATAAATTAAATGTTGTAAATCTGGGCATAGATTTATGTATAATAGCTCACTTTGTGTCCTTTCAATCGATTTTTTATTCTTTTAATTTTTTTTTATTCTTTTAAGAATAATTCCTATTTTCTATTTAATTAATTTAAAAATACAGGCGACACGCCGAACATTCGCCCGGGGCAAGCATCTAGTATGTCTTTATAATAATATGAGCTATTACTATCTTTATAATAGATTTGAATTAGAAGTTAATTTGGGAAGATAAGTAGATAATTACTGACAGTATGTATGATTTGCATATTTATGGGAGGTCATTAGACGACCGAAGATTCAGTTTGATTAAATGAATGGACAGTTTTCATTTTTCAATCATGTTTTAACCAATGTGAAGTGGAGTCTAGTTCTTTTCCCCGAAATTAAGGGATTTGAAGACGGAAGTAATATGTACTAATTTGCAATGGGCTCTTGTTTGAGAGGGAAAATAATAAATCTCAACTTGACACATCATCAAAGTTTCTCTTTCTGGTTTCTGCAATAATAAAATACTAGATGCTTGGCCCAGGTAGATGCCCGGGCGCCTCCTCTACTTTAATTTTGTGTTAATAGATAAATGAATTTTTGATTTGGAAAAAATAAAATAGTTACACATTTATTTTTTCAGTTTTTTTACCAAAAATAAAAATAAAAATAAAAAATCATCTGCAAAAGAAGAAAAAATATTAAACAGTACACCGATGCAGAAATCATACAAAAGAATGTGAAGTAATAAAAGAGATAAGTTTATGGACAAATTTAAATCCTATCTTAATTTGATTGATAAATGATACTCACTCCGTCCCATAATTATTGTCCACTTTGTCCAAAAAAATTTATCCCAAAATTATTGTCCAATTTGACTTTTTATGGATCAAGTTACACATTTGTCCTTGGTAAAAACATTATCCATAAAATCTTAGTAGGTAAACAATTACTTATGTAGGGGTATATCCGGTTGTTTAAGGTAAAATATAGTTAAGTTTGACCAAAAATAAAATCTTTCATTTTAGTAAAACTGGACAATAATTATGGAACAGAGGGAGTAAGTGTTATGAGTTAAAATTGTGTAGCTATTTTTGTAAATTATCTTTTGTTTTTCCGGATAATATGTTTTTTTTCTTTTAAAAAGGGATGACACGTAGCAGAATGGTTAAAGCAATATGGTGCATTTGGAGCCAAATTTTTTTAATAAAAAGTTGCCACATCAACATCCTGTATTCTGCTTTAATAGGGTAAAAGGGATATATATATATATGTATGTATATTGTTTGATTGATTGATTGCCTATTTGGTACGCCAAAGTCACCTATATATCTCCTTATGAAAGTCAATTTTGTTATATATTTCATTTCAGTTCACACACTTAGCTTTTAGTTCCAAAATAACTTAAAGAAGGATATTTTGTTATTTTTCAACGCAAACATATAAACACTACTGCAACATATGGCGAATGGACATAGTGATCCGTGAGTACGTACAAAAGACAAAACAATTTCTCTTGTAGAACTATAAACATAGTGCAATTATGTATTTATAGATAGCTACCGCATACTGTCACGGTAATACTTCACTATCTGATTTTCACTTGATTATCATAATCATTATCTTTATTGCAAATCGAGAATAATTTAATTATTTTGCCTTTGGCTATTTTCTTAATAGATGATAAAATTGTCATTAATCATTAGTCTTTTTTAACAATATATACATTTTATCATTACCATATAAATTTAAATTACGCGCGCGTAATCAACTTTTAATTAGTATCATAAGAATGTTGAAGAACTAGAGAAAAGCTCATGGAGTACAACATCATGCAACTGATCGATGCAAATCAAAGACTGAAATGAAGCTTGATATCAATAATAATATTAGACATAATACATCACCATTTCCTGATATTTTTGTAAGGAAGGAAGGAACCAATGCATCATTAATTAAAAGCTAATTAATTAATAGTTCCAGGAGAATAATAAATAATACCATGGGAACTAATTAATCTGTATAGTAGCTAGACCATCTAGATGGATGTCTTGACTTCAATAATTCCACAACCAATTCCTGCATCTGAATTTCCATCAATCTTGCTATCACGATGAACAACAATTGCCCGACCAAGAACAGAGTTTTCGCCGACAAGTTGGATTGTTTTCACCTGAATTGATACCTCGGCGATTCCATCAGGTCCGGCAACAATGTTTCCCAAATCATCGGAGTGATGATTTTCATCCCGAGGCTTAAGCGGATTAGAATGAGCTCCAACGGAATCACAGCTTCCGGTTGAATGAATACATAAGCTATGGTTCCCCCGAGAAAGCCCGAAAATCGTCCCATTTATATGAGTGTTTTCTCCGGTGAAGTCCTGGAGGAAATGGAGAGAACCATTTACGGCATTTTCCTTGCCACCGGCGGTAGAGATGATCGTCGCCGTTGCTTCCATTGTTCCAGTCTCGGTTCCAACTAGTTTTAATTTTTTTTTTTCAGGCAGAACGAAAACAAAAAGAATAAGGTAATATTAATTTGAATAACAAAATACACTAAAACAAACAATAAAAAAGGTGCACAAATTTTGATAGTTCCTTTGTTTTTTTGTTCTTCGTTTTTTAATGGAAATTAATTCAGTTTCAAGTATTCATTAAATCATATCAAGAAAAGCCTTACTTGAATTTTGGGGGAGGAATTCTTGATCCAGATCTCCAATGGTAGCATTGCATTTAGTGATGCACTTTTGATTGGCCATTCCGCAGCCAATGAAGCAAAATGGATTTGACAAACAAGTCAACGAACACGTTATGACTTTCAACCCGCAGTTGATGAAGCAAATTAAACAGCGTGGCACTGGCGGCGGCGGCTTTGGCGACGGACACGGCGGCTTTGGCGACGGTGGTTTTGGTGCCGGCGGCTTTGGTGCCGGCGGCTTTGGCGATGGACACGGCGGATTTGGTGCCGGCGGCGGTGTTCCACACGCGTTTACCCTCAGCATTGCGTTACTTAGTAGTATCAAAAACAGTACAGCAGCACCGGGAAAGTCTTTTGTCGGGACAGAGTTTTTGTGAAGAAAGGCCATTTTGAGCTTGGGGTATCTCGAAGAAATTATTAATCTGCTATCTAATGAAGTGTTTAGCTGTTGGGAAAGAATTTTGAAAATGTTTTTCTTTGATTGTTTGATTTATTTATTTATTTTTGTTACTGTATATATATATATATAGGCTGCTGAAAAGCTTGCGTCTGATTTTAGTTGGTTTGTTGCGTTTATACTTTGTGTTTAAATTTCATGCATTTTGATCTAGGCTTAACGGTTTCAAAGAGTTCTTAGACTTAACCAACATCTTTCAGGGAAAAACAGTTTGAACCATGAGGCATAATTTAGAACATATGTTACACGCAAATGAAATAGCGTTGTGCTAATAAACGATAAGAAATATCGTTTCGTAAAACAACCTTAAGGTCCTTAACCATTGATATGTAATGTTAGTCCACGACTAAATCCGTTTGTCATCGATGTCATCATTAACCTGATCAAGTGATGAAGTGTGTCCCATTTGCATCCTATATTCGATTTATTTCTTGATTCTTTACAGGATTAATTTAAATACAAATATTAAATGTAATTGATATCATACATCTTATTTATTTAATCATATTCTCAATAAAAAGTGCCTATGTCGGTTTTGATAGAGGAAGAAGGAACCCTTAAATCCAATTTTCTTGAATTCCTCTCGAACTTCTTCCATTGTTGGCCGGGCATACGAAAACTTCCCTACTAGGCTTATCTTGTGTGGACCAATTAAATCATCAAACTCTTCATTTTCGTACTCCAACTCAGGAACTCCATTAAAGTATTGGATACTTTTGCATTGGGGAGGGGGTTTTGATCCAGTAGGGATCGAAGTTAGGTTTTTTGGCTGTTGATTATTTTGAAATAGGCTAGCAAATGTTCATGACTAACCAGTGGGGGTCGTAGTTGGAGGTTTTCCGACCATGATGGATGGAAAAAGGTGTGAGGCCGCGCTAGGGTTTAGAGAGGACGAAGGAGAGAGGCGGCGTAGTCCCTATTGTCAGGGTTGTTATTGGTACATGTATGACTAGTGAGTTATTAGTTTATGAGTGAGAATAATTATTAAAATGAGTTAAATGTTATTGATTTATATGACGGTGATAGACGTTTATTTGAGAATTTATTTAAAATTTAATTAATTGTCTGAAGTAAGATTAAGTTTTGAAACATCCCGAAAAAGAAAATGAGTATATTGAAATGGATGAAGTACCTTTTAGCACCATTCCTGTGGAAACCCAATTAATCAATGTAACAGTGGGCAGCCAAATCGATAGGAGTTCTAGAGAGGGACAGAATATATTCTTGTTAATAAAATAATTAAATGAAGGATTTACAGCATCAGACGTTAAACAATGGAGGACGAAGGGTAATCAAAGTTTTACTAAAAGTAAATTAAATGAAAGCGTTGCTGATAATGGTCAATTATATATGCATTCTAAAAGCAAGTCTTTTTAATCTCTTTTTACTTTTTTCAATTAGTCTATTTTTTAATTTAGCTTTGTGTTTTTATGTGATCAAGGGGCTTGAATGTAATTGTGGAAAAAGAGGAAAAATCGTGCACAAATTATAATGTGGTGATTGGACTAAAATGCAAGAGAGGAATATGGCTAATGGGATCACAACAAGTGCCTGACTCAATCCTGAGAATGTGCTAATTATGGGGCCGGATTTGGTGATCAAAATGTTGGCTCAAAAAGGTGAACCGGAGACAATAAGTACTATAGAAGCACGGGCTATAAAGTGATCAAAGACTAAGCCAAAAGTTAATCTTGACTCCTTAGAGAAGCAAGCTAAATAATGAAAAAGGGAATGACGCAGAAGAATTCTATAAAAAGTGTGAGGATCACAATCAGAAGGGAGTTAGCTTTTAGACACAAGATAAAAGAGGTAAAGAAAGCTGTAGACTAGAAGAAACTGGAGCTGTCTTCTCTGGGAAGCAAGAAGCTGACTTGCAATGTCACGTGAGCTGAACAACAATTATCCCTGAGTTTTCTTAATCTCTAGTTGCTTCCTAAGTAGTGTATTGATGATCAATGCTTTGATATTTATCGAATTCGTGTTTAAGCTTTTGAATGTGTATAGCTAAACTCTTACTAGGGTTTAACCCCTCAAATCTATGTAGGTATATTTTGAATTTCACTCGGATGATTTTGTATTTCAAATACTAAAGCTTTAATCACCCTTTTAGTTAAATAGCTACTTAACTAATTGTGTCTACATGTTATGTGAATCCCGAAAAGGTAAACATAGTTTCAAACGTTTAGCTTTGGTCTATGACGCAGAGGTAACAATCCAAGGTTTTAGATATGATATAAATATACTTATTTGGCATGGGTGATCAATAAGATCTAAGAAACTTAATGGATTTGTAAGTTGAACTTTCATTAGAAGATGGTCTGTTTAATCTTGCAAAGATACTTCTTGAAAAATCAAAAGTGACCTTGAGGTAATTTAGAGTCAGATCAAACATGAGTTCATACCAAGAGTAAGAATAAAGGAAGACCGTAGGTAGGTTTCTATCAGTTCATTAAGTCCATTTGTCATTTATGTAAGTCGTGTGCAATGTTCTGTCTATGTGTTCTTGGAGTTTTACGAGTTATTAGAAATTTAATTTGTCTCTATTGGATTGACCGAGTTTACAACTGTCTACAGCATACATTGGCATTTTTTTTTTTGGTAGATTCGGCACCCGCCACTTAATTTATAGCATTTGGCGTTACAGGGTGGAGGAAGTGCAAAACCTAAATAAAAATTTTGTTAAATTTGGGTTTCATTGGTGCCCGACTGTCGTCAAATCGTCCAAAAGAATACCAACTTAAAACTACTGGATAATAGTAAGTCGGGTCAAATCCACATGGATAAATGTGACTATCTAAGAACCGTCTAAAACACAGAGGACTAAACGAAAAACAACCAAGAAACAATATTAGAATGGTCACTCATGCGAGTGTTGTCAGAACTTACGCGAGTAGTTGTTTTCCTAATAGAACTACAACACGAAAACAAAATTAACAAGTACTAAAGTAAATGTAAGCAGGCAGAGTATGAAAGACAGCAGTTTTAGCAAGAAAATAGGGAACTCGACAGAGTAAAAGAGCCGGGGATCCTCCTCCCTTTCTATGTTACTTTTACAGTGATTCTGCATCCAACAAAGTATGTTCGATCAGACACCACCTAAATCTCTTCTAGTGTTCTTAAGGAAGTCCCTCAAGTGAGTGACAAGCTCTCTTCTGAGTAAAATATTTAATTTCCTTTGGGCAATTAAAATCTTAAGTCTTATCGTTCGCCTCGTGCCAACTAGGTATCTTCCGGTCCTAGTTGAAACCTTCGACTCTTACTTCTAAGTCACCAGCCAATTTTAGCCTTTCTGAATTGAGTATACCCTTCTGAGATTCCTCCAGTATGCATGCACAAGTGCTTAGTTGATAAAATTACTCACAAGGTTAATTCAAACACTAAGATTGAAAACACTTACATCGTCCAAATGAAAATCTCAAGTATTTTCACATAGAAAGAGGGATTCAACCCCAAACTCATAATATGTATTTGAAACACGTAATCCATATAAAATTGAGCATAAAACGTGATTATAAGGCAAGAGAGAGCAAACATAGAGCTAAAGATTAAAGCTTTTGCAGTACAACAGTGCACTCTGTCGAGTTGGAATGCCATTCCCCTGAGTTTTCTTAATATGATAGACTCCCAAAGAGAGTCAGTTGCAGAGTTTTCTCCTAACACTCTACTTGAATAAACCCTAAATTCTCTACACTAAACTATGCTTCCTACTCCGCTCTCTGAAAATATGCATCACTTCATCATTTTATAGACGACAACTTAATTCGTTGTTAGGATGCATCCACGTACGCCAGTTATCAGGTTCATAAGGAGCGTCTATTTTTTTCTTGACTCTTCAAGCATGATTCTAGCTGCATCTTCTTGGCATTTTGCGTTCATCTTCTGGACCGCAAGGCCACGTAGGTCACCTCTTCCTTGGCTGCTAGAGTTTGCTCCATTTTGATAAGAATTCAGGCCAAGGAAATGGTCACAAAGTTGCCTCCTGGAAACGATTGAGAGCAGAAGTGGTCCTGAAGTTTGTCGCCCAAAATTACAATTCAGTCCAATTACCAATGTTTGCATTTTGTCAATTTTGCCCATATTTTCAGTAATTTGCAATTTGATCACTAATTAGAGGAAAGTACAAAAATTACTTATAATTATACAATTCCTATCTAATCACTATTATATTACAATTGGAAAGTAACTAAAAGAAATGCTTATAAACATGTAAATTTGACACCCATCATTTCAAAGGTGAGAGCACAAAGTTGAGTTTAAAACAAATATGGTGGCACACTTGGAAGACTACCAAAATGTTCAAGATATTTAACAACTATAATATAGGTTGGAGAGTAATCTCTCAAGATTGAATCCTTAGTGACCGGTGGGATTTTATATTATTCAAAACGTCACTTTAAGTAAGTTGAGCTAAATAGTTAGCAAAAACATTAAAGCCTTCTGTTTCACATGACTAACTTTTGATGTCTAAAAACTTTATACACACATATGGAAGTTAATGAAGCATTCAAGCCATGTACTAAGAAAATTTCTCGTCAAATCAATTAAAATCCAACAATTGGTACCAATCTAGGTTGATTAATGATCATTTAGACACTAAAAGACAAGATTTGTCAAAAGGTACGAATTTACTGTGGGCAACCTCTTCATCTTCCACAAACATGACTTACACCATCTGTCCCAAAATAATTGCCAGGTTTGGATTTTATTTCTAATACAAATTGTAATGAAAGTGAAATCTAAACATGGTAATTATTTTGAGATAGATTGAGTATTATTTTATCTTAAAGTAGTATTTTTATAGTTGTGTCCTAATTTGGATGAAAAGTAATGTTGTAGATAATTGATTAAAAATACTCTCTTTGCCCTAAAAATAAAAATCCTGTTTACAAAATTATATCTTAGAAATTAGATTTTTTGATCATTGAATTGAACTCTTACTTTCATGTATCAAGCATGTAAAGTGCTGTGTTTATCAAAATTGTTTTAAATTATGATGGTTCAGCCTTAGTTGCTTTTGAAGAATATA